TTGCTGTTAGGATGCTGTTTGTTTTAGGCTGTCTCACCTGACAGAACAAAGAAATGTAGTGTGTATTCTAACTCAAGTGTACATGCATATCTATAAATATTTGTAATTTTCTGTACCTGTATTAAATTACATCTGGGTTCTTACTGATGTTTTCAACTCTAATCCATTACCAGAAGGAACATTCTAGGTTCCTCACTGTTTATTTGTAAATTTCTGCTGCAGCAGTGGGTTACTTGCTTCTCACCATCCACCCATTTACTTACTTGTACAGCTGCAGTAAACAAATGTAGCAATGTAAGAATTATTAGTGGGTAACTCCATGGGAAACAAATTTATGATACAGAGTACTATGCTTATGTAGAGTTGTTTTGGCCTTTAGTTTTACAGACTACATTTCCAAATGATTTATCATTTAAAATTATATAGTTACTAGGATGTATTTAAATTATACTCTTACAAAATAATCAGTAATTTTTTGATTGCTATTGTATAGAACCTGGTTATTTTGGGACTGGCATTGTGGCACAATGGGTTGAGCCACTGCCTGTGATGCTGGCATCCCACATGAGTGCTGGTATGAGTCCTGGCTGTTCCACTTCCAATCCAGCTCCCTGCTAATGTGCCTTGAAAAGCAGCAGGTGATGGCCCAAGTACTAGGGACCCTGCCACCCATGTGGGAGACCCAGATGGAGTTCCAGGTTCCTGGCCTTGGCCTGGCAGATAAGGGCCTCTCTTTCTAACTCTGCCTTTCAAATCAATCAATCAGTCTTTGTTTTTAAACATTTTTTATTTAGTTAGTTGAAAGGGAGAGAGAGAGAAATCTTCCATCTGTTGGTTCACTCCCCAGATGGCTGCAACAGCCAGGGCTGGGTCTCACACTGGTGCCCATATGGGACACCAGCACTATAAGCAGCAGCTTAACTCTCTGCGCCACAGTGCTGGCCCTAGAATAAATCAATTTTTAAGAAAAGAAAGAAACTGAATATTTGGCATTTAAGGGCAATGGTAGGGGCTGGTGCTGTGGCATAGCAAGTAAAGCCTCCACCTGCAGTGCCGGTATCCCATATGGGCCCTGATTCAAGTCCTGGCTGCTCCACTTCTGATCCAGCTCTCTGCTATGGTCTGGGAAAGCAATAGATGGCCCAAGTTATTGAGCCCCTGCACCCACGTGGGAGACCCAGAAGAAGCTCTTGGCTTCAGATGGGCGCAGCTCCGGCCGTTGCAGCCAATTGGCAGTGAACCAGCAAATGGAAGACCTCTCTGCCTCTCCTTCTCTCTCTGTGTAACTCTGAGTTTCAAATAAATAAATCTTTTAAAAAATTTTGGAAAAAAAAAAAGGGCTATGGTATTTATGAGGAGTGGAATACAGAAAATATGTTTTGCTCAGTTAATATTTACCATCACATTTGATTCTCACAGTTGCTCTGTAAGGTAATAGGACATTATTTTATAGAGGAGAAAAGGAAGGCTCAAAGGAGGTACAAGGAAGGGACTACGCCAAGATTCAAGATCTGCCTGATTCCAGAGCCCATCTCCTTTCTCTGTTTTATTTTTTAAATGTTTTTTGTTTGAAAGGCAGAGTGACAGAGACACAGTGACTCAATGGCTGCAGTAGCTAGAGCTTAGACAGTCCAAAACCAGAAGCCAGGAATTCCATCTAAGCTTGGGTCATCATCTGCAGCCTCCCAGGGTATATACTAGCAGGAAGCTGGATTGGGAGCAGAGGGGACTTGAACCAGGTGCTTCTGGGATGTGGGCATCCCAAGTACTGCCTTAACCTGCTTGGCTACAGTGCCCAATCCAGCCTTATTTTTCTTCCCGTTACTTCTTTCCCTTTCCTGATCTGTGTGTCAGCCATGTTAACATTGTCCCTTTTGTGTTTCCAGGAAGTGAGTGCTTTTGGTGAGGAAGGTGAAGGTGATTATTTGGATGACTGGACAGTGCTCTGTAACGGGCCCTACTGGGTGAGAGACAGTGAGGTGAGGTTCAAACATTCCTCCACAGAAGTATTGCTGTCTGTCACGGGAGAACAATATGGTCGACCCATCAGTGGGCAAAAAGAAGTGCACGGCATGGCCCAGCCAAGCCAGAACAACTACTGGAAAGCCATGGAAGGCGTCTTCATGAAGCCCAGCGAGCTGCTGAGAGCAGAAGCCCACCATGCGGAGCTCTGAGTCCGGAGGCACCGAGCCACTCTCACCACACAGTGTTCATGGACACCTGCAGCCACCCCGTCTGGAATTCTGGACACAGTTCCCTGGACTGTGGCCGTGTCCCCTCTGAGATGAAGACGTTTCACAGAAAACAGCGGCTGTGCTGGGAAGCTTCAGCCCTGCACAGTTGAACTGGTCACTCGCAGACTTGGGTTGGTTCTTTCTGAGGACTTGATGGAGGGGCAGATGCTTTTTCTTCATATTGATAAAACCAAGGGGACTGTCCCTCTGGGTTGGGAAGTTTTTACTCTTCAGGAGTTGGCATCGTGTGACTTTTCCCATTTTCCTTTCCCAAAAGTGATAAAGTAAGAAATGTATTGTTAGTCACGTTGTTGTCATTTATCAGGTGTGCTGCTTCGGGCCCTGCTTAGACCTCGAGTCCCAGGAGTCTTCCACGATGCAGGGGCCTTCAGCGCGGGTCCTGCGGAAGAGCTTTCCCCTCCCACCAGGCACCTCATCTTCCTATTGTGGACTAATTATGGCTACAGACTTGAAGAACACAGCACAGTAAAGAGCTAAGGATCTGGATCTGTTACTGCAGATGAGGAGAACGGGAAGGGTAGAAGGAAGAGCTAATATTTACTGAATGCTGAGTACTAGGCCCCATGTTTCACCAATGGATAACAGAAAAGTTGAGTAACTGCCTAAATTCTTTTTTTTTTTTTTTTTTTAAGATTTATTTGTTAATTTGAGAGGCAGAGTTAGAGATAGAGAAAGGTCTTCTATCTGTTGGTTCACTCCTCAAATGGCTGCAAAGGCCAGAGCTGTGTTAATCCGGAGCCAGGAGCTTCTTCCGGATCTCCCACAAGTGTGCAGGGCCCAAGCACTTGGGCCATCTTCCACTGCTTTCCCAGGCCACAGCAGAGAGCTGGGTTGGAAGTGGAGCAGCTGCTACACAAATGGGCACCATATGGGATGCTGGCGCCAAAGGTGGAGGCTTAGCCTACTATGCCACAGTGCCAGCTCCTGCCTAAAATCTTAGACTAGTAAATTTTGAGATAGCAACCCAGCTGTGTTTGACTCACTCTTACTACAGTACGCTTCTTTTTAGCTCTTGGAAGACAACATGTTTTTCTGGACAAATGTAGGGATATTGTTTGTTGAAAACGTGGGTAGGAAACTTCTTTTGCCTCTCTGACCACATTCCTGTTCCAATCAACTGGAGAAAGTTTGCTTATATCCTTGAGCCTGGTACTGGGGAATGGGGTGACTGCCATCTGGTGGAATTTTAGTGACTACCAAGCTCTTCATTGTTGCTGTATGTATTTGTGTATTTGCTTTAATGTTGAATATTTAGAAATAACCAGTTCGGTGCCAGACATGGTCCGTGACATTAAGACTTGGTCTCTTTTATAAAGGACTTGTGATCTCAGTAAACTGAAACCACCAATGAGTTGAGCTCCATCTCTGCTTCTGCTCCCTGTATTCCAGTTCATTTGCTTGGTTTCTTGAGATCTCTCCAGAAAGAAGTAGACAGATGAGTAAAACCCACAGTTCAGACTAAGATGGTCAGGAGTAGGGGTGGTGACAGTGTAGGGAGAAGGAAGGAAGTGACAGGACTCTTAGTTGAATAAAGGAGATGGGACAAGATAAGTGAAAGTAAAGAGATGTGCTGCTGGGCTTTGCCTGGAGGTTTGGAGGACGCACACTGATGGAAGGGTTCAAGCTGTAAGAAATGAACTGCTGAACGCAGCAGTGGGGGAGGGAGGGGAGACCTGCAATAACAAGAGGGCTAGCTACTGAGGGCGACCAGTTGGAAGAGTAAACCTGGAGCAGCACACAGGTGAAAGCTGAAATTGTACTTTACAAAAGGCAGCCAAAGAGAGGGGCTCTGATTAGAATCTCGAAGGATGTTTATGCGGGTTACCACGGGACAGCCAAGGGACAAGAAGTACTCCACGAATACTGATTTTGTAATCCTCACCATTTCTTTAGCGAGTATTGTAAAGGTATTAGAGCCTTCAGATTTTAATCCACAGCATCATAGCAATTCTAAGGGACCTGTCTGGCCAGTTCCCTTGAGTTACAGAGAAGGAAGCCAGCAAAATGGACCCTGACCTGAATTGACCCTGAAGTCTCTATTTCCTGTAATTATGTTTGCGTCCCAGATAACATTGTTTGGTTGCTTCTGCAACACCTCCCCCACTCCGGTTCGTGATACATGTAATAAAACCGTTAAACCTCTCCAGTGAAGTGCCCAGAACGGTGCTGCCCCCACAGCAGGTCAGTGCGTCTTAACTGACAGAAGACTATTCATACGGTAAATAAATGAAAAACTCACAGGCTTCTCTTGTGAATGCAGCAAGCTGGGATTTTCGAGATCTGAAAATTACTTCTTGGGCCTCAATTTTCAGACTGGATCTTGAAACATGGCAATGCCGCTCAGTCTGACTCGAATCCTCAATTCCGGCCCTCAGCAGCCAGGCAGCCCGTAAACCCGCCCCCACCCCGGGAAGTGTGCTTAGAAGCCGAAATAAGCTCGGCAACCGAAGAGAGCCAGCCGGGTCTCCCTCGAGTCCAAGGAGCTGGCTCGGACTCCGACCTTTCGGGAAGTCCCAGGCTCCGCAGTTCCGGACACTGTAGGGTGCGCCCAAGGCGGGGCGTGCGTGTCAGCACGTGGTCTGCTCCCCCGCACCCCTCTCCGGCGCCACGCCCTTCCTTTGCGCAAGCAGCCAGTCGGCCCTCGGGTATTGCGGACGCCGGGCGGGGCGCCGGAGACGGACAGCTGGCTGGCTGGCGGGCTATGGGGGGGCGGGGCGCGCGCGCGTACCAACGCTTCCTCGCACAGCGTTTCCCTGCGCGCGCGGCTGGTCGGCCCGCGGCAGCCCTGCGCGGTTCCGGCGTCGGGGCCCGGCATGGCGGGGGCCGGGACCGGACCGGGCCGGGCCGGACCCGGACCTAAATGACTCTACTCTTCTCCGCGCTGCTGGTCTTGTTGCTGGTTGCGCTTAGCGCCCTCTTTCTAGGCCGGTGAGGGGCTCCCGGCCGCGGTGGAGGGAGGGGGAGAGGAAGAGAGACGGAGGAGGGGGCGCGCGCAGGACAGGGGCGCGGGAGGGGGCCGAGGAGGGGGCGCGCGACTAGGTTAGGGGGTGGTACCAGGGCCTGCGGGGAGCTGCCGGGGCGGGGGTGGGCTGTGTGTCTGGGGATGCAGGGAGAGCGGGCGGGGCCTGAGGAAATGCTGAGGCCGGAATCTGATAGATGTCTGTGAGAAAGGAGGCTGGCTCGTGGTCTCCGTTTTACCCTTCACGCGCCCCTGTGTGTCCCTTTCACCGAGCGCTAAGGGCACCTGCCGCCTCGCTCTGGGCCGCGGGGACAGGAAGAGTGGTTGTCAGAGGAGATCGGCATTTGACCTGGCCGGGTGTGACCCCGCAGTGCCTTCTCGGGGACACCTATCTGGAGGTGGGAGCGGAGGCAGAGGCCTCAGGGGAGTGTGAGATGGCCCATCTGGCAGAGGGGTTTTGGCTTCTGTTGGGGCCTCTTTTCCACCAATGACGTTCCTGACGAATTGAGAGATGGCTTCTTCGTGCCGGTCGTGGGAGGGTGGAGGTGATCACTTGGAGGCTAGGGTCCTGATCAGTGTGTGTGTGTCAGACAGAGGTACTTCGGGAGACAGGAGAGTTGTCCCGAAGATCCAGCTGCCAGATATGAACCTTTGCGATACTTTCCGTGTTCGACTATGAGGGAAGCCATAATTGGGGGAGGGTCCTGTGAACACACAGGTTTTTTTGCAGGTGGCTGGTGGTCCGATTGGCCACAAGGTGGTGTCAGAGGAAGCTGCAGGCGGAGCTAAAGATCGGCTCCTTCCGCTTTTTTTGGATCCAGAATGTCAGTCTTAAGTTTCAGCAGCACCAGCAAACAGTGGTGAGTTTTGAGAAACTCCATGTTTCTCAAAAAAAAAAAAACAAAAAAACTCCATGTGTGTAGGTTTAATCCAGCTGAATTGTAACTTTTAATTTACTTTTTAGTATATGTGCTGCCGAAGCAAGCACAACTTTTAATTTACTTTTTAAAAAACAAATCCTAGGTAGCTTTTTCTAGTTAACCCCGAACAGATGGGTGTGAAGAAGGGGCTTTGCCATGTCTATGCCAAGATGATTACAGCCAGTTGGGAAACACTGGAATTAATGCAGCTTGTTCGGCTGAAAATGTTTATGGGGCACAGAGTGTCCAGGGTATACAAGAATGACCCAGGAGTAAAGCCCAGAAGAAAGATAACAGGACATGTAAGAGCTTAGTGTTCTAATTCAAGAGGAAGAAACAGGGCAACACAGCCATAAAAGACCATAAAAGAGAAATACTGAAGTTCAGCTAAGGTCATTGTGACAAGCAAGATAGGGAGTACTGAGCAGAGAAGCTGTGGAAATGGAATGGGGTGTGTTTAGTGGACAGGCCCACAGCACTTCTCTTCTGTGAGCCAGAACCTCTTCTGGCTTGTCAGGCTGCTCATTGCTCACTTAGAGGAGTGTTTGAAGCTTTCTTCCATACTGTTTTAGGAAATTGATAACCTGTGGATTTCCAGTAAGCTGCTTAGCCATGATCTGCCGTGAGTATCCTATATCCTTATTTCTCCTCTCGGAGAATATTTTGGGGTTGGGATTTGCAGATTGATACTCTTCTACAGAGGCCTCACAGCCCAAAGATTCTTGCTGTAATCTCCCTGTTAGCCTAGGTGCTGTTATCTTGTGAGACACTGATTACTGCTATGAGACTAGCCTGCATTTCCAGGAAGGTTGGGAGAATGACTGTGAGGGAGGGAGGAGACTGCTATGGGCAGGGTAGACTTGGTGGTAATGAGGTTTCTCTTCTGGGCAGACACTATGTGGCGTTGTGCTTTGGAGAAGTGCGAATCAGAACAGACCTACAGAAGGTTTCTGGCCTGTCTGCCCCATTCTCGCAGAGGACTGGGGTGGATCAAGAGGAGATGTCATTCAGCCCATCCTTACTAAAGATCTTCTGCCAAGTGAGACTACTTACTCCACTGTCCTTGATTGTATTCTGGGGATAGTTGGCTTTGGAGTTGTGGGTGGATTTTTCTATTTTGGGCATAATGCTAAGATCTGCCTCTCACTCTCAGCCTGAAAGGAAGGGTGATGCCTTGACATTAATTATTGTTCATCCTCGTTCCTTGCAGCTATTCTCCATTCATGTAGATGCTATAAACATCATGGTTCTCAAGGTGGCTACCTCTGAGTCTTTGTGGCATATTCAGATCAGTAGAAGCAAATTTCTGTTGGACAGTGATGGGAAAAGGTAAGCATTGGATAGAAGAGGGTTTTTGTAGTCTAATTCTTTCCTTGGAGTTGCTTTAGGATAGGTGGATGTCAAGGCCTGTTTATTAAAGTATCAAGTTCTCATCTGTGCAATTTAAGAAGAGGCTAAGATGGGGCATTTCCACTTGTCTTGTTCCTTTTAGCTAACAGAGCTTGATTGGAGGTAAATGGTAAGGAAATGGTCCAAGTGCACTTAATTTTTTTCCTTTCCCAGATTAATTTGCGAAGTGAGCTTATCTAAGATCAACAGCAAAGTTCTGAAGAGTGGTCAGCTGGTGAGTAGGCCATGGTCCTTCAAATGCGTCCTTTCCTCATGGACATAAGGTCTGAAGGGGCTCAAGATTTTGTGTCCTTTTTGGGTTACCTCAAGGCAACACTTAGTGTTCCAGATCACTACAGTTTGACTTCAAACTCCCTATATACTTCTTAGAAGTTTATTCTCCCTGCAGGAGGATACCTGCCTAGTGGAGCTCTCACTGGCCTTGGACCTATGTCTGAAGGTGGGTATCAGCAGTCGGCATCTGAAAGCGATCTCCGTGGATGTGTGGACACTGCATGCCGAACTGCATGAAGGCCTCTTCCATAGTCAGCTGCTGTGCCAGGGGTCCAGTGTGTCATCCAAGCCTGTTCTCAGTTCAGGTAAAGCCCTAGTCTTTGGGCTTCTTGGCTGCATCATTCTCTGGGGTTATTTCAGAAGCAGAAAAACAGTGATCTCACTGCTCCTTTAGGTGTAAGTTGTTAGTCACCATGGTCTTTGAACCCGAGGACAGAAGTAATAATCCTGAAGGAGTGAAAGAGGACTAATATTTAATCAGTACCTATCAAGAACTGGACCTGTATTATGTATTTTATATATGTTCTGTCACTGAATCCTCAGCATTTCACAAATAAGAAGCTGAAGCCTAAGAAAATTAGGTAACTTCACTAAAGTTGTATGCTAGACCTAATGTCTGCATTCTTTTCATTATAAAAGCCTGCTCCTACTATTTATGTTTTTAGAATCTGAGGAAGGAAGTGTAGTAGGTGCCTGGACTTCTGGGGGTATTTCCCTCCTGGCCTAAATTTGGCATGTGATTAGCCTACTTTATGTGGGAGAATTTGGCCAAAGAGGGCAGGGCACCTTGGAGGAATGAACGAGGATTGATGGCTCTCATGTTATTCATTCATGTTTCAGAGGTGACAGAGAACTTGGCTGAGCCAACTCTACCTGGCCTATACCTGCTCCAGCAGCTTCCAGATCAGGTCAAGGTGAAGATGGAAAACACAAGTGTGGTGCTGTCCATGAATAGTCAAAAGAGGTGAGGTCTCTCCTGACAATAGTGTGGAGAGTGATAAGAGCTTTATACTGGAATCTGCATAAGCAGCCTAATAGCTGTTCTGAGCTTATCCTTGGGGAAACAGGAAGAGGGAATGGTGTTCCATGTCTTTCTGAGCCATAGTCTGTCTCTGGTCCAGGCACCTGACTTGGACACTGAAGCTGCTGCATTTCCTATACCACCGAGATGAGGATCAGCTGCCACTTCGAAGCTTCACATCCAACTCTGATATGGCACAGATGAGCACTGAACTACTGCTGGAAGGTTCATGGGTGGGGGAACTGGTGCTGAGAGAGAATGAGAGGCCCAGACTCTGTGGCACATATGGTCTAAATTTAATATCAGTGTGACTGGGGAGGGGGAGGGGGAAATATACTGAGGAAATTGCCCCGACTCACACTATTGCTAACAATCTGTTCATCTCTGCCTGCCTCCGACCCTGTCCTCATTTTACCTCTTGCCCTTCCAGCGCTCTCTGATCCATCCTCTGGCCTCTTACAGATGGACTGTTGCTATCACAGAGTCGCCAGCGTATCGTCTGCCTCAACTCCCTCAAGGCTAGTGTGCAGGTGTGTGATGACCATGGGCTGCCACGGATTGTGCTTCTCTGCTCTCTCTACATCACTCTACACGAAGTTCAGGTCTACAGGTCTGGTCTTCTCATTTCTAGGTGACCACCATAGACCTCTCAGCCTCCCTGATTCTGAATACTTGTATCATTCACTACCGGCACCGGGAGTTCTCTCACTGGCTGCACATGCTTGCACTGGAGACCCAAGGGTCCAGTTTACCTGTTCAGAAGCAAAGGAAAGAAAGGTCAGTTCAGTCTTTTCTAGTCACATATTAGGGTGATTCTCTTTTGGTCTGAAGTGGCATCTCGTGTTAAATATGTGTTTGATTGTTTGCTCTTCCCAAATCGTAGTCTCAGTAGCAATTCTGTTTTATCTGTCTTCCCCATTAGATTAGATTCCTTGATGGCAGAATCGTGTTCTCTTCGTTACTGTATCCTCAGTGCCCAGCACTTGCCTTATACTAAGTAAACATTTGTTGAACTGAACTTAAAGGGTAAAGAATGTCTTGTCTGTGTTGTATTGTAAGGTTGCAGTGCCACTTCTGGTTTTGAGTGCTTGCATGTGTGGCACTGAGACCTGAAGGTTAATGCTTTGGAACTGATGCCTCTTGGTTATTAGGTTGAATCAAATGATATTTCTGATAGTCACCATATTTGATTATGAAGGTGGTAATTTCATGTTTTTACCTAGTATGTTTCTGAGGTTTCTGCACATTGTTATGGGAGTAGCAGCAAGCTGATGAGTTGAGCGTTTTTTTTCCTAGTTGTATCCCATCCTAAGAATTACAACAAAACTCTAAATTCTCACCTTGATTTTGAGAGCTTCAGGAATCTTCCATGATAGGAAGCTGCAGCAGTTTCCTTGCCAAACAATGATGTCTTATCTCTGTGCAGAACCTTTCCCCAAATCCTGGCTCCCATCATCTTTAGCACTTCCATCTCCAATGTCAACATTTCCATTCAACTTGGAGATACGCCACCTTTTGCCTTGGGATTCAATTCCATCTCTCTGGGTAAGGCTTTGTGATAGTAGAGGAACAAGAATCTTATCCATTAGTGGAACTAGGCCCAGTTAATGGCCACAGTGGCTCCATAAAACTTCCATTTCCCACCTTCATTCAGATTACCAGCACCTCAGACCACAGAGCATCCATCAGCGGGGCGTCCTAACTGTGGACCATCTCTGCTGGCGTGTGGGCAGTGACTCCCACATTCAGCGGGCACCACACCCACCTAATATGCATGTTTGGGGCGAGGCGCTTGTCCTGGACTCCTTCACATTGCAGGTAGGAGGGGACTTTGGTGAGTAGGGACCTGTACATCTTCTTTGTTTTGTCGTGCTTCCAAGCACTGAGTTCCTTGTTGGCAGCAGGTGATGCATCAGGGAGTTCTAGAGCTGCATCTGCTTGCTTCCAGTGAATCCATCTGCTTCTTTTCTAGGGTAGCTATAATCAGCCTCTGGGCCTGTCCAGCACCCAGTCAGATACCCTCTTTCTGGACTGTACTATTCGAGGACTTCAGGTAGAAACATCCGATACCTGTGCCCAATGTCTATCTCGTATCTTATCCTTGATGAGTCCGCAGTCTGGGAAGTCAGCTGTCTCTAAGGAATCTTCATTTGGGGAATCCGTGTCATTACTATGGAAGGTGGACTTGAAGGTGGAAGACATGAACTTGTTCACTCTTTCTGCTTTGGTTGGTAAGTGGGGTTAGAGGGTCTATACTGAAGTGGATAATGTTTAACTAAAGCAGATTATTCTGATTTAGTTTGTTAGTCCTCATTTAATGAAGCTGATTATCTGGGATTTTTTTAGACTTAGAGGCAAAAGGGTAGGCATTTAGCCTAGTAGTTGAGATGCCAGTTAAGATGCCCATGTTCCATATCAGAGTGTTTGGGTTTGAGACCTAGCTCTGACTCCTGAATCCAGTTTCCTGCTAATGCAGACTCAGGGAAACTCTGGTGATGGTTCAGGTGTTGGGCCCCTGTAGGTGGAGTTCCCAGCCCCTGTCTTCAGCTCAGACCAGTCCTGGTCATTGCAGGCATTTGGGGATTGAACTAGCGAGCTCTCATCTATCTAAATCTCTCTCCCTCTCAAGAAATTAAGAATATGAGATGCTGAAAAATCTTGCATAACTATTGGGCTTCTTGACATTTCTTAACAGTTTATGAAAGGCAGGTGTTAACCAAGGTAAGAAAAAAGCTTAGCTTTGATATAGTTGAGAAAATGAGATCTATTTAGCTTTCTATTTTCTGTGTGTACAGTTCTAGAGAGTAAATGATATAGCTCTGGGCAATTTGTAGGAGTTTGTTGACGTTTTTGGCTCTGCTAGATCTAGTTAGGTTCAGATGGGAAAGGAAAATTTCCTTAATACATGAGGGATAAACTTGAAGCATGGAGATTAAAGATAGCTAGTGTAAAGGGAATAAGTAAGAGGAAAGAGAGGACTTTGTTGCCATTTGAGATCTGGGGACCAATGCTGACATGACTTTTGGGTGTCAGGTGCTTCAGAGGTGCGACTGGACACGCTGACAGTCCTGGGCAGTGCCGAGACCTCCACCGTGGGGATTCAAGGGCTTGTGCTTGCACTGGTGAAGTCGGTTACAGAGAAGATGCAGCCCTGCTGCAAAGCCCCGAACATCCCCACTCCAGTGCTCAGCCTCTCCATGCTCTCTCTCACCTATCACAGCAGCGTCCGTTCTCTAGAGGTAATAAGCCTGTGGATGGCTGGACGGGGCTGAGTTTTTCCTGGCTTCCCACCTTTCTTGGTCTTTTTAACTCAGGTTGTGAACTTCATTTCATGGGAACTGTGACACCTGATTTTTTGGTTTGTTTTGGACATTTTTAACTTTTTACAGTGAAATTTAAAATACATGTAAAACTGGAGAGAAAATGTATGAGCTTCCATGTACCCAGCTTCAGTAATTATCAGTGCATGACCAACTTATTTAAGTTATACTTCATCTAATTCCCAGTCTCTAGAATTATTTTGAAGAAAACAGATATTTATTATAATTTTAGTTATAAACATTTCAGGGGGTGAGTGTTTAGCCTAGCAGTTAATACATATGCATTCTGTGTCCGAATATTACCTGGGTTCATTACTTGACTCTGGTTGCAGCTCCTGATTTCAGCTTCCTGCCAAAGCAGACTTTGCAGTGATGGCTCAATAATTGAGTTCATGCCACCTATGTGGGAGACTTGAATAGAGTTCCTGGCTTCCAGCTTAACCCTTCTCAGCCCTGGTGATTGTGAACATTTGCGGAGTGAACTAGCAAATGGGAGCTCACTTTCTCTCCCCCCCCACCAAAAAATAATTTCAATATGTATCTGAAAAATTAGGGCTTTTTTTTTTTCTAAATAATGATCTGGTATTTTTGTTCCTTTTTTTAAAGGATTTATTTATTTGAAAGGCAGAGTTAGAGAGCGTGAAAGAGAGAGAGGGAAAGGAGTCTTCCATCTGCTGGTTCACTGCCCAGATGGTTGCAGAGTCTGGAGCTGGGCCAGACCAAAGCCAGGAAACGAGCTGCTTCTAGATCTCCCATGTGGGTACAGGGGCCCAAGGACCTGGGCCATCTGCTGCTGCTTTCTCAGGCCATAGCTGAGAGCTGGATTGGAAATGGAGCATCCGAGACTTGAAATGGCACCTATATGGGATGGTGGCACTGCAGGCAGCAGCTTTACCTGCCACAACACACCTCTGGCCCCCTTGTGTTGTTTTACGGAAGCACTTGGCTCATGACATTAGACCGCTAGATGGGGCACTGGCACATTTTGAGAAGCTTCCTTATATCTTTCTTCTTTGCATGTCAGGTAGACCAGGGACCGCCTTAGGAAGAGGCTCAGCATCTTCCTGTTTTTTCAGACTTCACCCTCCTTGGGAAAATGAGGAGGTTCCTTTTCAGAAGCTGTAACTTGAATTTTCTGTCCTGGAATTTTAATTTTCTGTGTCTACCTAGATTTTCAAAATTGTGTTTTTCAAGCTGACAAGGATTCTGTTTACTTCCTTGAGGCATACTTTCACCTGTGTCAGCTGGTGTGTTGACTTGTGTAATCATCAGAACTTTTTTTTTTTTTTTTTTTTTTTGACAGGCAGAGAGACAGACAGACAGAAAGGTCTTTCTTCCATTGGTTCACCCCCAAAATGGCCGCCACGGCTGGTGCTGTGCCAGTCTGAAGCCAGGAGCCAGGCGCTTCTTCCTGGTCTCCCATGCAGGTGCAGGGTCCAAGCACTTGGGCCATCCTCCACTGCCTTCCTGGGCCACAGCAGAGAGCTGGACTGGAAGAGGAGCAACCGGGACAGAATCCGGTGCCCCAAATGGGACTAGAACCCAGGGTGCCAGCACCGCAGGCAGAGGATTAGCCTCGTGAGCCGCGGCGCCAGCTAATCAGAACTTTTTATTATACTTTTCGAGAGTTAAATTGAGGGGCTGGTGCTGTGGCATAGTGGATGAAGCCACCACCCCCTACAGTGCTGGCATCCCATATAGGCACCAGTTCAAGTCCTGGCTGCTCCTCTTTTGATCCCGCTCTATGCTATGGCCTGAGAAAGCAATATAGGATGACCCAAGTCCTTGGGTCCCTGCACTTGTGTGGGAGACCTCGAAGAAGCTTCTGGCTCCTGGCTTCAGATTGGCACAGCTCTGGCCATTGTGGCCATTTAGAGAGTGAACCAGGAGATGGAAGATCTCTTTCTCTCTCTCTCTCTCCACCTCTCTGTAACTCGGCCTTTCAAATAAAGTAAATAAATCTTAAAAAAAAAAAAAAAGTTGATGTAGTCAACTCATAAGCATTTCAATTTGCAGACACTTATGGCTGTTTATAGAAAGATGATTCATGAGTGGAAACATAAAGCCAAATGAGTTATTGAGTACTTGTTGTATATACTTGATGTGCTGTGATACTAAAGAATTGAAACATATGGACAGTGTTCTCAGACAATTTAGAGTCCAGTTAAGAACTTAAAAAGTGTAAGTGCTCTTAAGTGTAAGATGAGTAACAGCTTTTAGTTCAGCATATTAGTGCTAAGGGGAACAAAGCAAGGCAGTAATTTGTGGTTACTCAAGGAATACTTCTGGGTGGAGATGGTTCTTGTGCCAGGTATGCCTAGTAATGTCTGCCTGCTTGAGACATGGTAATTGATAGGCCCTTTTCTGTTGCTTCTTGAAGGTTCAGTGTGGTGCTGGGCTGACCTTACTCTGGAGCCCCCCAGATCACATGTATCTGTACCAGCATGGCCTGGCTGCCCTGCAGTGCAGAGACCTACTAAGAACCACTCTGTTTCCCGAGACTGTTCCATCCCTTGCACTAGAGGCTCCAGAGACCACTTCAGAGCCAGAAGACCATCCGCCAGAGCCATTGCCTCCAAAGAGGCTGCTAAACCTGACACTGGAAGTGAGCACAGCCAAGCTGACTGCTTTTGTTGCTGAGGACAAGTTCATTACCCTGGCTGCAGAGAGTGTGTCAATGAGCCGCCACGGAGGTTCATTGCAGGCTTACTGCCCAGAACTGGCTGCTGGCTTTGATGGCAATAGCATCTTCAACTTCAAGGAGGTGGAAGTACAGCTGCTACCTGAACTGGAGGAGATGATCCTCCACCGGAACCCCTTTCCTGCACTGCAGACCCTTCGCAACCGTGTTTGGCTCCTTTCCCTTGGCTCAGTTTCAGTGGAGTTTCCTTATCAGTACGACTTCTCTCGAACTCTAGATGAGGCCGTGGGAGTTCAGAAATGGCTGAAGGGGCTACATCGGGGGACTCGTGCTTGGACTTCTCCAGGCCCTGCCCCGCTCCCACCTGATCTACTCTTAAAGGTTCAGCACTTCTCTTGGGTTTTCCTGGATGACATCTTTGAGGTGAAACTTCATGACAACTATGAACTAATGAAGGATGAAAGTAAGGAGAGTGCAAAGAGGCTGCAACTGCTGGATGCCAAAGTGGCTGCCCTTCGGAAGCAGCATGGAGAGTTACTGCCAGCCCGCAAAATCGAGGAGCTCTATGCCTCTTTGGAACGCAAAAACATTGAAATTTACATTCAGCGCTCCCGTCGTCTCTATGGCAACACACCCATGCGCCGGGCGTTGCTCACTTGGAGCCTGGCAGGGCTAGAAGTGGTGGCTCTGGCAGATGCCTCCTTCCACGGGCCTGAGCATGTGATAGAGCAGGTTCGAGAGCTTGATCCAGGCAGCCCTTTTCCTGCTGAAGGAATTGATCTTGTCATCCAGTGGTGTCGTATGCTCAAGTGTAATGTCAAGACCTTTCTGGGTATGTAGTGCTTCCCTTGCTTGTAGAGCCTGAAGTTTGCCCTCTGAGTTCCAGGAAACTCTCTAAGTGATTGCAGAGAGCTAGGCTATCCTGGGAACTGTGACTCTTAGGATAGGTGGGCTCCCCTTCCCTTTCTTTGTTCCTGAATTTCATGCTGAAACTGCTTGACTGACACAAAGGGACAACTGACACAGTCCTCTTTAAGACAGTTGTGGCTCTTGGAACTCAGTACTATGCCCCTCATCTTCTGTTCCAGGGTCTTTGTGTCCTTTCTCAGCTCTGACCTTGTCCTCTCAGTTGACTTTGTAAATATGGGTGGGTAAAAGTGTTGGAGAGGGAAAAAAAATGCCTGAGAGTGCTCAGCCAGCCCCAGAATAGCCGGTGTGTATCTTCTCCGTAATAGTTCGGATCAGAGACTATCCTCGGTACCTGTTTGAGATCCGTGATTGGCGGCTGATGGGTCGACTTGTGGGCACCGAGCAGAGTGGTCAGCCATGCTCCCGTCGGCGTCAAATCCTGCGCTTGGGGCTTCCATGGGGTAACGTGGCAGTAGAGAGGAACATGCCCCCCCTCAAGTTCTACCATGACTTCCGCTGTGAGTAAAGAAGACTGGTTGGTTTCGCTGAGGGATATTTATGGGAGGTGAGCTGAGGCATTCTGGAGTGAAAGAGAAAGAAATGGGTAGAGTCATGTAACATGTTGTAACCTTTGTTCTTCTACCCAGCGGAAATCTTCCAGTACACCGTGGTGTGGGGCCCTTGCTGGGATCCAGCCTGGACACTGATTGGCCAGTGTGTGGACCTCTTGACCAAGCCCTCGGCTGATCCCAGCCCACCTTTGCCCTGGTGGGACAAGAGCCGTCTTCTCTTACATGGGGACTGGCACATGGACATTGAACAAGCGAACTTGCACCAGCTGGCTACTGAGGTGAGGGGTCCTGTGGTATATTGTTGGGCCTGTCCAGCACATGGGGAAAGAGAAAATTGGGAGATAAAGATCATTCTCTGACCCATATCTCACCCAAGTTTTGGGCATGGTTATAGGATCCATATAACACAACTGAAAATATGCACTGGGAATGGAACCATCTGTCTTTTCATTGGAAACCTGGTCAGTTTATGTTCAAGGGTGACCTGGATATCAACGTGAGAACAGCTTCTAAGTGAGTAGAATGAAAGATGGGGCCCCAACTGGGTGGGGGCTTGGAGAGGGGAAGAGCCCAGGGGAAATGAGTGACCATATCACTGAGGGCTAGGGCTCCGTTGTGAGGCAGGTATGACGACTGCTGCTTCCTTCACCTGCCTGACCTCTGCATGACACTGGACCTGCAGTGGCTGTGCCATGGGAACCCTCATGATCACCACAGTGTCACTCTGAGGGCCCCAGAGTTCCTGCCTGAAGTGCCCTTGGGCCAGCTCCATGACTCCTACCGGGCCTTCCGCTCTGAGAACCTCAATCTCTCCATCAAGATGGATCTGACTCGGCACAGCGGGAGTGAGGCTTGACCTGGGACAATGGGGAGGAAGGGCTGGGTAGATGGGGTTGGACACTGAGGAATTTGGCTTGACCTGCTTGGGAGAAGATAGGAAAAAGGCAAGGGAATTTGGGTTAGGGTGTTTTTTTGGGAGAGAGGATTGGTAATGTGATAATGGTAATGGTAATAGTACCATAACAGTAATACCATAATCTGATTTGGGAGATAATCAGTATAAACTGAGTGGTTTATAAACAACAGACATTTATTTCTCATTCCTGTGGAGTTTGACAAGTCCCACATCAAGGTGCCTACAGATCTGATGTTTGGTGAGAGCTTGTCCTTCGTAGAGGGCACCTTCTTGCTGCATCACGTGGTGGAAGGAACCAGAGTGCGCCCTTGGTCCTCCTTTATAAGGGCACCAATCCTATTGAAGACTCTGTTCTTGTTTTTTAGTCACCTCCCACAGGCCCACCTCCTGGTACCATCACCTTGGGGGTTAGAATTTTAATGTATGAGTTTAATGTATGAGGCGGTGGGGACACAAACATGCACACCACAGCAGTAGGTGAAACCAAAAGCTTAGAGCCTTTAAAGTAAGAAGAGGGGGTTGGAGATGCTGATGCTGGGAGCTATTGAGTTTTTAAAATCTCTAAAACCTGAAGCTAGGGAAGGCTTTGGCTTCACCTCTGTGTTTCACCCGCAGCTAGGAAGTGTCCTTTCCTTTACAGCGATATCTCAGCCCCGGATTCTGCTATACAGTAGCACCCTGCGCTGGATGCAAAACTTCTGGGCAACCTGGACTAGTGTCACAAGGCCTATCTGCAGGGGAAAGCTCTTCAGTAACCTGAAACCCAGCAAGAAGAAACTTGGCCAGCACTACAAGCAGCTTTCCTACACTGCAATCTTTCCCCAACTTCAGGTTAGGCTCTGTGTCACTTCTGTTCCCTTTTCGTAGTTTTCTTGCTTTCTTATAATGAGTCTCTTAATGATCCCTCTCATGGCATCCTTTCTTCAGTGTTATGCATTCTCATTCCCAGGTACATTATTGGGCCTCATTTGCCCAGCAGCGGGGCATCCAGATTGAATGCAGTCAGGGCCATGTCTTCACTCGGGGGACTCAGCGCCTTATACCTCAAGGTAAGGTCACAGATTATTTCTTCTAGCCTGCTCCTTGTCCTTTTTCCCTTCTCAGTTCCATTCCCCCACCTCCCTATGTCTCACACTGTTCTGTACCATCTCCATGGGCTCTGTATCCCTCTTTCTCAGCGGGCACAGTGATGCGGCGTCTTATCTCTGAGTGGAGTGTGACCCAGATGGTGAGTGACTTAAGTCAGGTGACTGTTCACCTAATGGCCTCGCCCACTGAAGAGAATGCTGATCACTGCCTTGATCCCTTGGTAACAAAGACCCACCTGCTGAGCCTGTCCTCCCTCACCTACCAACGTCACAGCAATCGCACGGCTGAAGAGGTATTACCTGACACAGTTTTATTTCCTTATTTCTCAGTCTGCTTGGGCTGCTGTAACAAAATACTAGTCTGGGTGGCTTAAACAACAAAAATTCACTTGCCAGTTTTGGAGGATGGGAAGTCCAAGATCAGAGTGCCAGCAAGGTTGGGCTCTGGTGAGAACTGTCTTCCTGGATTGCAGACAGCTGCCCTCTCTCTGTGTCCTCATGTGGCAAAGAGAGTGTGAGGATTCTGGTGCCTCTTAATAGAATTAATCCCATCACGAGGACCTCACCCTCATGACCTCATCTAAACCTAATTATCTCCTAAAGACTTCATCTCCAACACCATCTCTTTGGGGTTAGGGTCTCAACATAAGGATTTGTGGTGAACCATCCATTGCAGTAGGTTTAGGCTAAGTGCCTGCTAAGGTTCTTAACTAATCCAAACACATTTGTCAATACTAAACCAAGTGCTCACTTGGTTTAGCTGTATCAGTTTCTGTCCCTCTCTGTCCTTTAAAAGATAGTTTCTTTGCCCTTCAGGAAATAGAGTAAAAGTTTTTTCAGAGTACCTTATTCGGGCTGACCTTTTCTTCCTCAATTAGGGAAGGATTTTCCGTTGAAATTGTCATTTAAAATACAGTAGGTATAGTTACAATGTGATATAAATGTGCAAGTTAAGACCATCTTCCTCTCTTTCCCCAGTTAAATTTCTTACTCAACAAGCATGTTCTCTTATCTCTGCATTTGTGGTCAGGCACATTGGTGGAAATTTCCATGTAACCCTGAGGTCCTTTTCCTGCTTCTTAGGAGCTTTCTACTCGAGATGGTGATCCTGCCTTTCATACACACCAGCTTTACTTGGTAGATTTGCGGATTTCCTGGACAACCACCAACCGGGACATTGCCTTTGGCCTATATGATGGCTACAAAAAGGCAGCTGTACTGAAGCGTAATCTCTCTACTGAGGCCTTGAAGGGGTTAAAGATTGATCCTCAGATATCAGCCAAGAAGCCAAAAAGGGGAGGCCTGACTAGTGCCCCAGCTGCACCTCGTGTCAACACTCCTGGCTTCAGTGGGCGTCCTGATAAGGGGTCATCAGGAGGTAGGCTGGGGCAGATGAGACTTTGGCTTTAGGATTATGACACAGACATGGACTTAGATGAGAGTGTGAGAAGGACATGGACTTAGATGGGAGTGTGAATCATGGCTGATCCATCTGTGTACAGAGATGAAACGTTTTTCCATGTTAGCTCTTAACTTTTAGGAAAAAAAAAGGCAATGTTTTAATAGCATTAAAGACTCCTGTGATCAGGAGAAGAGGATCAAAAGGAATGAGGCTAAAACAGGATAAATAACAGAAAGAAGCAAAGAATTAGAGAATTGTCTTGTGTTTTGACTAATGTGTTGAATGAGCAGATATATGTTGAGTGCTTAATAGGCACAAGAGCATTGGGTTCAGTAATGGTTACAGAATATAAGACAGTCTACCTACCTCAACAAGTTTATTATCTCTGGGTTAGCTGATTAGTTTATTCATTCACTCAGTCATTCATTTATATATATCCATTTTAGCTTTAGTAATGTATCAGACATTTAGGTTAGTAATGTATCAGACATTACCATAGAAATTGGGGACACAGAAATGAGGAGAAACTCATAGGGATAGTCCATGTAAATTATAATTTCATTGTGAAAAATGAATGAAATGTTGTTGTAAGAATGTTCAAGAGTGCTATGAAAACCCACAGAAGAAAGTGTTTAAATCTGAATGGGAAGTCTAGAAAGTCTTCACAGAGATGAAGGTAATTTAGATGAGTCTTAAAAAATGAGAAAGAGTTCAACAGAAAAGGAAAAAGGAGAGGGCATTTTAGGGAGAGGGAATAACTAATGCCAAGGGATGGAGGTGTGGTGAGTTTGAGAACACAATGAAAAGTGATACCTGTCACCAGAGAGAAATGGTACAAGAATTGTTCCTAACTGGAATGAAGGAAGGAGTATAAGCAGGGAAGGCTTTGTGAGGAAGTAGCATTTGAACTGTATCAAGAAGGCTTAGTATGGTTTAGGCATGTGAAACCTGGGAGGAGGGGTAGTCAGAGCTGAGAGAGCCATCTGAGTAGGAGTGTAGTTGGGAAAGCTCTGTATGTTCAGGAGAATGAACGGTCTGTCATGGCTGTTAGAGTAGAGGGGAGCAGTGAGAGAATAGGCTGCAAAGGAACGATGGAGATCACTCATCACAGACCTTGCATCCAGGGCGAGGAGTTTGTGGTTCTTATTCAGAAGGCAGTGATGAACTACTGAAGGATGTTTTTTTTTTTTTTTAATTCATTTTAAAGGCAGGGAAGTTACACAGAGAGAGGGAGAGAAAGGGAGAAAGAGATCTGCTACTAGTTTATTCCCCAAATGGGCAGGCCAAAACCAGATGCCTGGAACTCCATCCTGGTCTCCCACATGGGTGGCAGGAGCCCAAGTCTTCTGCTGTCTTCTACTTTTCCAGGCACATTAGCAGGGAAGTGGATCAGAAGCAGCCCATGGACCAGTACGGTGGCATAGCAGGTAAGGCCACTGCTTGCAGTGCCAGCATCCCATATAGGCACCAGTTGGGGGTCCTGGCCGCTCCATTTCTGATCCAGTTCCCTGCTGATGTGCCCGAGAAAGCAGTGGAAAATGGCGAAGTCCTTGGGTCCCGGCACCCACATGGGAGACCCAGAGGAAGGTTCTGGCTCCTGGCTTCGGATTGATGCAGTTGGTAGCCATCTGGGGAGTGAACCAGTGTATGGAAGACACTGCTCGCTCGCTTGCTCGCTCTCTCTTTCTGTAACTCTACCTTTCAGATAAAAATAAGTAAATATTAAAAAAAAAAAAAAAAAGCTGCTGGCTCCTAGCTTCAGATCAGCCCAGCTCCAGCTATTGTGGCCATTTGGGAAGTGAGCCAGCAGATGGAAGACCTCTCTCTGCCTCTGACTCTGTTACTCTGCATTTCAAGTAAATGAATAAATCTTTGTTTAAAAAGATTTACTTATCTGAAAGGCAGAGAGAGAGAGTTTACTCCCCAGATGGCCACAATGGCTGGAGCTGTACCAATCTAAAGCCAGGGGCCAGGAGTTTTTTTCCAGGTTTCCCACATGGTTGCAGGGGCCCAAGGATTTGGGCCATCTTCTACTGCTTTCTTAGGCCATAGCAGAGGCCTGGATCAGAAGAGGGTCAGCTGGGACTCAAACCAGTGCCCATATGGGATGCCAGCACTGCAGGCGGTGGCTTTACCCGCTACACCACAGCGCTGGCCCCTGAATAAATCTTTAAAAAAAAAGTTTATGGAAAATTAAAAGCTAAGTTTACTTTAAAAAAATAAGTATAGCAGCTGGGACTGGAACCTGTGCTCATGTGGAATGCTGGTATAGCAGGCAGTGTGCCACAACACTGACCTCTATTGAAGGTTTTTGTATAGGGTTTGTGTCATCATTAGGGTTTTATTTTAAGGCAGATAAATCTGGCAGAGGTGTGTAGGAGGACTGGAGAGAAGGAAAATAGAAATGGGGAGACAAATTAGGAAATTTATGATGTCTCAACAGGAGGCAGTGAGGCTGGAGGTAGGTAAAGGCAGTGGAGATGTAGATGATAAGATAGACATTATTGTGCATCCAGGCGATGCCACTGGTTGGAAGGAGTAAAACCAGAGAAAATAGGTTTTGAGCCCAGTAACTGGCATCATGGTAACAATATCAGAAATAGGAGAGCCAGAGGCCAAACAGATTTGGGGAGGTATAAAGTTTTTAGATTTGGACATGCTGAGTTTGTGGCAAAAACTAGTGGGACATCTAGTCTAACAAACACCTAGAAATTAGGGTCTAAAAGCTTTTGGCTAGAGGTAGCAGTTTGGGAATTTCAGCATACAGCTAAGAGTCAATGCTGAGGTACAAACAGTTGCTTACTGTGTGACAGGTACTCTACAAAATAGTTTTTATTGGGGCTGGCTGCTCCACTTCTGGTCTAGCTCCCTGCTGTGCCTGGGAAAGCAGCAGAAAATGGCTCAAGTACTTGGGCCCCTGCACCCAATCGGGAGACCTGGATGAAGCTCCTGGCTTCGGCCTAACCCATCCGTGGACATTGTGGCCATTTCTGCCTCTCCTTCTCTGTAACTCTACTTTTCAAATAAAATAAATAAATCTTTTTAAAAGTTATTTATTTATTTATTTATTTGAAAGGCAGAGTTACAGAGAGGCAGAGAGAGATCTTCCAAAGGCCTGAGCTGGGCCAATCCAAAGCCAGGAGCAGAAACTTCTTCCAGGTCTCCCATGTGGGTGCAGGGGCCCAAACACTTGGGCTATCTTCTACTGCCATCCCAGAGCATAGCAGAGAGCTGAATCGGAAGTGGAGCAGCTGGGTCTTGAACTGGCACCTATATAGGATGCCAGCATTGCAAATGGTGGCTTTACTCGCTATGCCACAGCGCTGGCCCCATAAATAAATATTCCACCAGATTATCTAACCACCTTATGAGGTAATTCCTATTATTTTACAAATAAGGACATTGAGGCACAAAGTGTTAAAGCAAAATTATAATCAAATGAGTGGTAGAGATAGGATCTTGAACACAGGCAGACTATTCTCATTCTGCAGACTGTTCTTTACAATGACATGTTAACCGACAAACCCATTAAGAGAAAGAGTAGGGAAGAGAAGGGGACAAGGATGCATCTTAAGAGATATTTAATCTCTAAAACCTGAGAGAAGGAGGGGGGAAGGGGTCTAGAGACATAATTGGAGGAAGCAGCAAAGCTAAGAATGCAGTGACAGTGATGACAAGGGAGTGGTTTCAGCTAGAAAGGAGTGGTCACAAATAAGTAGCATATAAAATAATTGACATGAAAAAGAACAAAATGGGAAGAGGATCTTACAGAGGTGGTTATGCCTTAGAAAAATGCCACCACTTATATAGCATTTCTGTTTTCTATTGGAAATCTGTTTCTTTAAAATTTAGGGGAAAATGAATTGGCAACCCTTATTTTGCTCTCAGGGGTGGGATGGAATGGGCTGGGTTGGGCTGGAGTTCCCAATTAAGGGATGTATTCTATCCTTTCCCTAGCCAGAGCAATTAAGGGAAGACCAGTTTGGTCTTGGCTATATTCTCTTTCCCTTTGAGACTGTGACGTTTCCCCATTTCCTGTTTCTCTACCAGGTGCCTACATGTTGCAGAAGCTAATTGAAGAGACAGATAGATTTGTAGTATTCACAGAAGAGGAGTCAGGTATGAGTGACCAGTTGTGTGGCATTGCCGCTTGCCAGACGGATGACATTTACAACCGCAACTGCCTTATTGAGCTGGTCAATTGCCAGGTACCTTTTCTTTACCAGAGTACCTCCAGCATTGAGCTAATCATATTGTCCATTGATAATCATATTGTCCATATCCCCCCACCTCTAGATAAGAATGGGTAGAGTTCCAAAATTTTTTCCTTCCTGCAAGTAGCACAAATAATCATTTCCATGTCTAAAAACCAGTAACTTCACTCAGTAAGCCAGAATTAGACTCAGCTGTGGTAGTTAGTATAGTGTTCTCACCTTCTCATCTTCCTGACGGTTTAACTGTGCTTCTGTGTCTGGTGTAGATGGTTCTTCGAGGAGCAGAGACAGAAGGTTGTGTCATTGTGTCAGCTGCCAAAGCCCAACTGCTGCAGTGCCAACACCATCCAGCCTGGTATGGTGACACATTGAAGCAAAAGACATCGTGGACTTGCCTGTTGGATGGCATGCAGTACTTTGCCACCACTGAAAGCAGCCCCTCCGAACAAGATGGCCGACAGCTCTGGCTAGAGGTTAGTCAGCAGGGCTGGGAAGGCCTCTTATATTGCTTTCCGTGGTTTTTTGCACTAGAATAGCCGAGATTCTTGACAGCACCTGTTACTACCAGCTTTGCTGAATAATGAGGCCAATAATATTGTAAATGGGCAGTCTGTTCATATGCCTGTAGTACTTTTTTTTTTAATTGCATGATATTCTATTTTATTGCAAGGGATACTTTGACCACTAGAATACAATGGGTTGGAGCATTTTTACTTTTGAAGTTGCTGAACCCTATTAATAAGGTCTTTTTTTATTGTTTGTTTGTTTTTTAGATTTATTTGAAAGCATTACAGAGAGATATAGAGAGAGGGAGAAAGAGAGTGATCTTCCATCTGCTGGTTCACTCCCCAGATGGCTGCAACAGCCAGGGCTGGGCCAAGCTGAAGCCAGGAGATTCTTCCAGGTCTCCCATGTGGGTGGCAGGGGCCCAGGTACTTCGGCCATCTTCTGCTGCTTTTCCCAGGCCGTTAGCAGGGAGCTAGATCAGAAGTGGGGCACCCATATGGGATGTCGGCATCACAGGTGGCGGTTTTATTTGCTACACTACAGTGTAACCCAAATACCCACAGTGGTTAGGGCTGGACTGGTTCTAAACCTAGGAGCTTGGAACTCAATCCAGGTCTCCCATGTGAGTGGCAGGAACCCATTACTTGAGCCATTAATGCTGCCTTCCAGGATTCACATTAGTGGGAGAATTTACACTGTAATTTTTAGGATATAATATCAGACTAATTTGGAGGGTCTGATGGTTATGAGTTATACTTAGCCAGTAGTGTGTACTGTCATTATATTTTTAATAGATATTAAATGCCCACATTGTGGTGGGCATGGTATACTCTCAAGTGAGTTATAGCATCTAGCTGCATCTGATATAAAGCAAGGCTGGAGGGGTTGGGAATTCTAGTGCAGGGAATTAAGCTGCCACTTTTGACACTGGCATCCTATAGCAGGGTGCTGGTTTGAAACCCAGCTGCTGTACTTCCATTCCAGCTCCCTGCTAATGTGCTTTGAAAGGCAGTGGAAGATGGCCCAAGTGCTTGGGCCCCTGTCACCTTTGTGGGAGACCAGGATGGAGCTTTTGGCTTTGGCCTGACCCAGTTCTGGGGTTGCTACAGCCATCTAGGGATTGAACCAATACATGGAAGATTTTCCGTCTCTCCCTCTTTTTGTCACTCTTCCTTTCAAATAAATAGATCTTAAAATGAAAGCCAAAGTGATAACTTCATTTGCCATTCCATCCATTGGGGATAAAACATCCCTTTGCCTGCCCACATCCCTGGCTGGTACTTTTTATATCAAGAACATTAGGGCTTAATCCAGGCAACCTCACATGTAATTAATAACAGGTAATGAGTATTTCCATTAGATGTCAAACCAAGTAAGGGCCAAGTTGTTGGTAATACGAGAGGACCTGCTGATAACTCATATAACAGCTGTGATTCAGGCAGGTAATGTTCTTTACCAGTTGTCTTCAGAGGTAGGAACAGAAGGTGTTAACTACCCATGCAGAGGTGGGTAGAATAAGCTCTCAGAAATGCCCTGACATTTTCTGGGCCTCTGCTGCTTTTAGGTATCCTTTTTCTTTTTTTTTCTTTTTTACGATTTATTTGTTTGAAAGAGTTAGAGAGATCTTCCATCTGCTGATTCACACCCCCTGATGGCCTCAGCAGCCAGGACTAGGACAGGCCAAAGCCAGGGGCTTCTTCCAGATCTCCCACGTGGGTAGCAGAGGCTCAAGCACTTGGGCCATCTTCTGCTGCTTTCCAAGACCCTTAGCAGGGAGCCAGATTGAAGCAGCCAGGGCAAGAATCGGTGCCCAGATGGGGATGCCAGCATCACAGGCAGTGGTTTTACCTGCTACACCAAAATGCTGGCCCCAAGCATGCCTTCTTTTGCAGTTTGACCTCATTTTTTTCCCTCAGGCTGTGATACTGGCATCAGAGTGGCTCACATAGGAGGGGCTTTTGATCCTGTCTTTCCCATAAGACTTTTTATCTTAACTTGGTAGATATGCTATACTTTTTTTTTTTTTTTAAGATTTTATTTATTTGAAAGGTAGAGTTACAGACAGTGAGAGGGAGAGAAGAGAGAAAGGTCTTCCTTCCGTTGGTTCATTCCCTGAACGGCCACAACAGCTGGAGCTACTCTGATCCGAAGCCAGGAGCCAGGAGCTTCTTCCTGGTCTCCCACGCGGGTGCAAGGACCCAAGATATGCTGTTCTTAAATCAGACTTTTTATCTTAACTTGGTAGATGTGCTGTCCTTAAATCATGATCATATGCCATGGTTTCCCCATATCACTTATTCTGTTATTCACTCTGATATCAGCTTGGCAGAGACAACCATAAGAATTTAGTTCCCTTCTCCCATGGCAACAATGTCAGAGAGATTCCCTATCTGAAGGCAAAAAACAGTAAGAGCACAAACAGAATAAAAACAAAAATGGCTTGGAAAGTAACTTTTTTAGTGAAATTTTTTTTGCCTAGGACATGATTTGATTTTAATCTAACTCATTATTATTTTCCTGGCCCCAGAATTTTGGGCCTGGGAAAGTATTCAGGTGACTCATTGGATTGGAGAATTTGGGTGGTTTGGGGCAAGGAGAAAATCAAACATGTTCTGTACTCCAGGAGAGCCTTCAAGCTAGTCAAGGCAGTAGAAGTCTAGATAATAATTGTCAGTACAGTGATGTATTGCTTAACAGGGGATATGTTGTGAGAAGTGCCTCACTGGGCAGTTTTGTCACTGTGTGAACATAACGGAATGTACTTCACAAACTAAGATGGCTGCAACATCACTAGCAATATAATCTTATGGGATCATCACCGTATACGTGGTTGCTTGTTGATGAAGATGTTATTATGCAGTATCTGACTGCACTTGAAACATGGAGCTCTGTGACCCAGTTGGCTAGAACAAATCCCTGTTTCTCCAGGAGCTAAAGGTGTCTGTATCTGTGCTTTTAGGTAAAGAATATTGAGGAGCACCGGCAACGTAGTCTGGACTCTGTGCAGGAGCTTATGGAGAGTGGGCAGGCAGTGGGAGGCATGGTTACCACAACCACAGGTCAGTTTTCCTCTTTCCTCCCTACCATGTGGTTTGGAGCAGATGTTTGTCCCAGGGGACCTCATTTTCTTTACAGCTCTTAACAACCATACATACTGGAGCAGGACCATTTTGTGCTAGACCAGGTTGAAAGCAGTGTTTCTGTAGTTCCCCAGATAGCACACATAGCTGAAAATCTCTCACAAGACCTTTACTAAGAATGTCCTTCTCTTACCTCTTTCTCACCTCTTCCCAGATTGGAATCAGCCAGCTGAAGCCCAGCAAGCCCAGCAAGTCCAGCGGATCATCTCACGTTGCAATTGCCGAATGTATTATATTAGTTACAGCCATGACATTGATCCTGAGCTAGCAACCCAGATTAAGCCACCTGAGGTTCATGAGAACCAGGAAAAGGAAGATCTCCTAAAGAAGCAGGAAGGTATTCAGGGCTTGAAAAACTTATAGCAGAGGACGGGGGAACTTGTTAAGAGTGGTTATTTCCTTAATGATTTTGAGAATATAATTATTATTATTATTAAAGATTTATTTACTTATTTTGAAAGTAAGAGTTACAGAGAGAGAAGGAGAGACAGAGAGAGAGAGAGATCTTCCATCTGTTGGTTCACTCCCCAGATGGCTGCAATGGCCACTTCTGGGCTAGGCTGAAGCCAGGAGCTTTGTCCAGGTCTCTCACATGAGTGGCAGGAGCCCAAGCACATGGGCCATCCTCCACTGCTTTCCAGGCCATTAGCAGGGAGCTAGATTGGTAGTGGAGCAACTAGGACATTAGTCAATGCCCATATTGGATCCTGGCTGCAGGTAGTGGCTTTACCCACCACACCACAACATGGGCTTCAACAGTATAATGATTAAAAGTCCCATTATGCACTGGCAATAGCATTTTACTGTGCTCTACATTTATACCTTCTGCTGTGAGAGAACAACTTGTACTCTTGGAGGAACCTGGGATGAATAGTATATATGATTCTGAAATTAGCAAACAGTTCTACCCATGAACTTTTACTACCTTTCTGAGGGGCTAATAGGAATGGTTTCATACGTGGATTAAAGACAAAATAGATGTTTAGGGAGAGATTTGAATCTCTTATTTAGATGCTAACATTTACCTAGGGGCTGTGGATACCTTTACTCTCATTCACCATGAGCTAGAAATCTCTACCAACCCAGCTCAGTATGCCATGATCCTGGACATCGTCAACAACCTGCTACTCCATGTAGAACCCAAGCGGAAGGTGAGCATGGGCCCTTATAGAATGCTATTTAGCTGACCCGTGCTTTATGTTTGGGTCTAAGAAAAGCCGTGTTGCATACTGAAAAAAGAACCTGTGGTTAATATGTCCTTTGTTAGTCAGCAGCAACGGTTGAAATTCCACCTATCTAGAAAAGGTCTGAATGTTTCTAAGACAAACTTATTTGCTTGTTTTTCCTGGTAACTTCTCCATACTGCTAAAAACAGTAACTATTCCCCACTTTGGCTTCCATCCTCTTGACTTATTGTGAAATCTGCATTGCCAAATCTGCCTTGACCTAGCCCTCACTGTTACTACCAGCAGTGACTAACAGAGGTTAGCTTTCCAGAAGAGATTGCATTTCTTATTTCTTTCTGTTTCACTTTACCATAAGACTTTATTAAAAAAAAAAATCTTGTTAAGTTCCCTTTGCATTCCTGCAGGAGCACAGTGAGAAGAAGCAGCGTGTCAGATTCCAGCTTGAGATTTCTAGCAATCCTGAGGAGCAGCGCAGCAGCATATTGCACCTGCAGGAGGCTGTGCGGCAGCGTGTGGCCCAGATACGGCAACTGGAGAAGCAGATGTATTCTATCATGAAGGTAGTCACCCCATGTGATCTGAGGACAAGGAGGTCTCCTCATACAAGGGAGAACTCCTTAATTTATCTTATTCTGGTTCTGTAGTCTTTGCAGGATGACAGCAAGAATGAGAACCTGCTTGACCTGAACCAAAAACTTCAGTTGCAGCTAAACCAGGAGAAGGCCACACTGCAGCTGGAAAGTGAAGAGCTCAATATCCTCATCAGGTGCTCCAGATTTCTTTCTTTGCCCATTTCCACTGCCCCAGCTGGAGCTGTTTTCTTGCTCATATTCTTGACCGTCTTTGGGTCTAGTGTACATTATCAGAGGCACAATAGGGGATGGGTATCTGGCATAATGGTTTGATGCCTGCCTCCCATATCAGAGTACCTGAGTACCTAGGTTTGAGTCCTAGCTCTGCTCTCAATTCTAGCTCCTGTTAGTGGGTATCATGGGAGGTAGCATGTGATGGCTCAAGTAGTCACTGCCACCCACATGTGAGATGTGGATTAAGTTCCTGGCTCCTAGCGTTGGCCTGGCCCAGTCCTGGCTTTTGTGAGCATTAGGGGAGTGAACCAGTGGATGAGAGAGCTCTGTTTATCTCTCTGTGCTTTTCAAATAAATAATTTTTAAAAGACTGACGTATGGAGGGGTGCGAGTGGGAGGGAAATTATAGGGGGGGAAGCCAATGTAATCCATAAACTGTACTTTGGAAATTTATATTTACTAAATAAAAAAATTTTTTAAAAATTACTGGGAAAAAAAAAAAAGACTGATGTATGAGTAGATTCGGACACTTCTTCCTAAGAGAGCCTCATTGAACTTGGCCTAAGAAATTGAGAGCCCTTCTTTGGGATCCTCATTAGAGAATCTACTTTCTAGGAAAGGCTGCACTGTAATAAAAATTGTTGTGAAAAATCATTTTTGTGACCTTGATACTATGCATCTAAACTGAGAGTATCTTGAAGTTGATCAGTAAGAAACACAATTGTAGATACAATCATAGAGGTTATTGGTAAAAGAGACTTCTTTATCAAAAAGCTGTGAAGCTGAAAGATGAGATTTTTGCTCCATGGTCCAGGTGTCAGGAGCAATAAACCCAGTGAATAAAATGTAGGGACTAGCTACCTCAGAATAGGTCCCTATCTAGACTTACCTCCTGCATCATTCTAGAGCATTCCATCTTACCCTCAGCCCATATGCTGCTTTCCTGACTACCTTTGGCCATCCTGTCCACTTATAGGTGTTTCAAGGATTTTCAGCTACAGCGAGCTAACAAGATGGAGCTGCGAAAGCAACAAGAAGATGTGAGTGTGGTCCGTCGCACTGAGTTTTACTTTGCTCAGGCTCGATGGCGCCTGACAGAGGAAGATGGACAGCTGGGGATTGCTGAACTGGAGCTGCAAAGGTTCCTCTATAGCAAGGTATCTTGGGTATACAGTCACATAAAGGCAGTTGTATTGAGAGGCACTGACCTATCTCAGGAGTCCAACTTTAAGAGATAAACAAAAGGGCTAATTATTATATGACTGTTAATGATGGTCATCATCATGAGCAAAATTTCCTTAGGCACTTCTATTTATAATATTTAATATCAATATAGATAAACTTGGTCAAATGTTTCTTACTGAATAAGGTTATCACTAGAAGTATGACCCAAAGGAAAGTAATCTTCTCAGTCAAGCTACGAATTCTATTCTGTTCTATAATTATTATACTATATCACACTATATTATATATACTATATTACACTATATATTACACTATATTATATATAGTATATAATATATACTTACTATATATATGATATATGCAGTATAATAATACATATATAATATATATTATACTATACTTATTATATTCTATAATTCTAATACTGACATTCAGCTTTCCTGCAGTTAATGAGTGACGTGGGGTGAGAAGTCATTATTCATTGCTTTCTCCTACAAGGGGACATTTGGAAATGAATGATAACATTTTTTGTTGCCATAATGACTAGGAAATAGCATTTAGTGACCTGGCCAGTAGTACCTATGAGAAACTGGATTAGAGGTTGCACTGATTTTACAAAATGGAAAGAGATATCAAAGGGTGGAATTGGGCATATGGAGAACCTGAAAACAAGTTTATATACCAAACTCCTGAGAAAGGCTTACCTCAGTGGACGCACCAAAATCTGTCTTTATAGGTGAATAAATCTGATGACACCGCAGAACATCTCTTGGAGTTGGGCTGGTTCACTATGAACAACCTCCTCCCCAATGCTGTCTACAAGGCAAGTCTCCATTTCTGGCTCATTTACATACTTCTTAGCAGAGGGCATTTCCATATAAACCCACTATAGGAAATAATTGGATGATGTGATGTGATTAAAGCTTGCCCAGCTTGATAAGACCATTGCTTCTCTCATTCTGCAGATTAGTAGGTTGACTTACAGTAGTATAGAGGACATTGGGTTGGGCTCTTGTTCACTTTACCCCACAGGTAGTTCTGCGGCCCCAAAGCTCCTGCCAGTCTGGGCGACAGCTAGCACTTCGCCTCTTCAGCAAAGTCCGGCCGCCAGTTGGGGGTATCTCTGTTAAGGAGCATTTTGAGGTTAGTAAACTGTTCCTTGGGGGCCCAGGAACAAAGGGAAGCAGAAGCTAGCTGCGTATTACATCATAGTAGGGTTAGGAAATGGAAGGATGGGGTCTGACCTTAATTACTTCTTAAACCTTTTCTCCTTTAGGTAAATGTGGTGCCTCTCACCATCCAGCTGACACACCAGTTCTTCCATAGAATGATGGGCTTTTTCTTTCCTGGCCGAAGTGTGGAAGATGATGAAGTTGGAGATGAAGAAGATAAATCCAAACTGGTGACGACTGGTGAGAACTTTGATGGTGGAGCATCAAGAAGAATGGGGTTGGCCGGCGCCACAGCTCACTAGGCTAATCCTCCGCCTGTGGCGCAGGCACACCGGGTTCTAGTCCCGGTCGCTCCTCTTCCTGTCCAGTTCTCTTCTGTGGCCCAGGAGTGCAGTGGAGGATGGCCCTAGTCCTTGGGCCCTGCACCCGCATGGGAGACCAGGAGAAGCACCTGGCTCCTGGCTTCAGATCAGCGCAGTGCGCCAGCCACAGCGCGCCGGCCACAGTGGCCATTGCGGGGTGAACCAATGGCAAAGGAAGACCTTTCTCTCTGTCTGTCTCTCTCTCACTGTCTACTCTGCCTGTCCAAAAAAAAAAAAAAAGAATAGGGTGGCACCCATAGAGACAGCTGAAGGTTCAGAAAGAGGATGAGAGCTAGTGTGCTTCTTTTTTCTGTTTCTTTAAAAAAAAAAAAAAAAATTTATTTTTACTTAAAAGGCAGGGGAGGGCGGGGGAGAGTTCTACCATCTGCTGGTTCACTCCCCAAGTGCCTGCAGCAGCCAAAGCTGGGCTAGGGCAAAGCCAGAAACCCAGAATTCCATCTGTGTCTCCTGCATGGGCAGCAGGGGCCCAAGCACTTGAATTACCATATGCTACCTCCCAGAGTGCATTAACAGGAAGTTAGATCAGAAGCAGAATAACCAGGACTTGAACCAGGCACTCCAGTATGGGCTGTGGGTATCACAGTTTGCAAGCAGCAGCTTAAAACTGCTGTACCGTGTTGCCCACTCTGCACTTTCTTTTTCACAGGCATACCAGTGGTGAAACCTCGGCAGCTGATTGCCACAGATGATTCAGTACCACTGGGCCCTGGGAAGGGTGTGGCGCAGGGCTTGACTCGGAGTTCTGGGGTCAGAAGGTCATTTCGCAAATCACCTGAGGTACCAGACATGTCTTGATTACAGAAAAAGAGAGTTCTGAGAAACTGGCCTGACTGGAGATTTCTTCTGTTTCCTTTAAGTCTACTCAGGGGGTAAAAGGAAAGATGTTGAAGTTCCTGCATTTCTTCTGATGATTTTGGAGCTCATGTTCCTTTCCTGCTTTTTCTAGCACCCTGTGGATGATATTGACAAGATGAAAGAGCGAGCTGCCATGAACAACTCCTTCATCTACATAAAGATTCCACAGGTTCCACTGTGTGTCAGCTACAAGGTCTGCATCTTCTCTGTACTGTCTAGAATACAGTGGGAATGGTACCAGATAGGATCATCAGATATTATAGTCAGGGAAACAGCCAGGCTTCTTGTGATGCTGGGATATGGGTGATAGGTTCCCTCTGCTCCCTTCAGGAGTCAGCACAATTATCAGACTGAGGTAAGAAAAAATCAATATATGTAGGTTGATGTCACAGTACTCACACTAAAGTACTGGCTTAGACTCAAAATGGTAACTTAATGTGTTTTTTTTCTTTTCTTTCCTCTGCACCTCCTTTTCTTGCAGGGTGAGAAAAACAGTGTGGATTGGGGTGACCTAAACCTGGTGCTGCCCTGTCTGGAATACCACAACAACACATGGACATGGCTAGACTTTGCTATGGCTGTCAAAAGGGATAGCCGCAAAGCCCTGGTTGCCCAGGTATCCCGCCAGGGCTCATGGCTTTTTGGTTAGCAGGGGCTGGCAAGCAAATCTCCTGCTCAGGAGCCTTTCATTCTAATATATATTAACAAATAGCCTTGGGAAGGGACAGGTGAAAAGAGTGACTTCTATCCATGCCCTCTCCAGGATTTTACCCAGTTGATTAAACTGAATGTTTGCTGAAGTGTTTCTATTATTTGTTAACCACCACTGATTTTAAGGGAATTAAGGGCTTACATAACATCAGGCTTAGATTGGGTTCTATTTAGACTGTAAGCTTCTTGAAAGCAGAGACTATTTTATAATTTGAATTGTCTCATTGTGCCTTGCATGTAAGTTTAATAAATAGTTCTTGACTTGGTTCAATTTGACTTATTCTACATGTCCCACTAATATTTACCTTTCCTTCTACTCCTCTCCAACTTGCCAGGTAATCAAAGAGAAGCTAAGGCTGAAGCCTGCAACAGGGTCTGAGGTCCGGGGAAAGCTAGAAACTAAATCAGACCTGAACATGCAACAGCAGGAAGAGGAGGAGAAAGCCCGGCTCCTCATCGGTTTAAGTGTGGGCGACAAGAACCCTGGCAAGAAGTCCATCTTTGGCAGGCGCAAGTGATCTGTCAATCTGAGTGGCTACATTACAGGATCTGACTCTGGCTCAGGCCCCAGGGACTTGTGGGGTGGGAGGGGCTTCCCTTCATCCCTCAAGATTTGTGGGGGTCAGGAGCCCACAGAGGGTACAGGGGAGAAAGGCACTGTTCTTTAGTAGCTGGCCTGTTCCCTGTGGGGTATGGTAGATAATATTATGCTGAGTTCCATCTCATGCTGATCAGTTCCAGGGCCAGAGGCAACAAGAGAGCAAGACCCAGGGAATGGGCCCTGGGGATCAACTGAAAGGGTCAAGTATGATAAATTTTTATAAACACACACACACACACACACATATTTCTAAGTGTAACTGTCCTCCCTCTGCCAGGAAGCTTAGGGGAATGGGCTAATCCTTTGTCCCTCACTCCACTGCCTTGTATAAAAGGTATTATTGTCTTGGGAAGAATCAGCTTTTCCCCAGTCTATGTGCTTAGCTCATTTGGGAGGATGGTGATTGGAGCTAGGGCTGGCCATGGTTCTCCTACTCTTCCCCCTGGGATATACCCTGGAAAATGGCAAAAATGATTGAAAGAAAAAAAAATATTTTAAATTTGATGCTGTTTTTTTTTTTTTGGGGGGGGGGGGGTTGTATTGAGTGCATGTATTAAACCTGTGTCTTTCCCTCACCACCAACCCAAGATGTCTTACAGCTGCCACTTTAACAAGGGTCGCCTCCTCCTTCCTCTGCTCTGAAACTATAGCACAGATACTTCCCAGCTGTAATGTGCCACTGGCCTCATTCTGATGGATTTTCTACACATCAGAAGAGGCAGGGCTCATGTGTGATGCACATCAGGGGGAGGAAGTGCTTATGTAACTGGGACAGATTTAGCAGAAGGAGAGAGGAGGCAGAGGCTGGGAGGCTGGGAGGCTGGGATGGGAGCAGTGAGCTGTCGGCAGGGGCAACACACCCGGGTGGCTGCTCCTCACAAGGTAGGCTGTGGGGCTCTGGCAGCCTGTAGAGGGAGGTGAAGGAATAATGGCCCGAGTCCTGGGAAGTATCTTGTTAGGAGCACCCCCACTGTGGGATGGGCAAGGAGGCTGTAATGTGAGAAAGCATGGCCTACAGTGTGAAGAAAGCTCAGATTGTATTGCTGGTGTCTGATGGAGAAAACGTCCAGTAGTTAGATTTGAATTGTGTCCAGGAAATCCAGGCCTTAGCACAAGAGATTGGGAATTTTGCCTCATCAGAAGTGTACCTCAGGGGCTGAGACTTGAGGGGACAGAGGACCTGCTGAGTTGGGCAGAACCTGCAATGCCTCAGTGGCAGAAGGTTTAGAGTGGCTTCCTTGGTTTTTAGCAGGGTGGCAGCAACATCCAGGGCCGTTGGGCCCGAGGCTGGAAGAGCCTCTGGTCAGGTGTGGGGCCCATCAGGTCAGGTCTGGAAGAGCTGAGGGAACCCTGGGGGCATCAGTGCCGGCACCCAAAGCCCCTAGAGCCAGCCCCACTGCTAACAGAGAAGCCTCTGTCTGAATGGCCGGTGCCTCAGTTCATCAACCTCTTTTTACCGGAGTTCCCTATGAGACCCATTAGGGGGCAGCAGCATTTAAAGGTAGGTCAATGGAATCCTTGGGAGAGGTCTGTCTGGGAGAAATCTAGAAACAACAGGTTTCAATTGTCATGTTCTCCTTTTCTCAACAGATTTTATCCCTTGTAGCCAAAGGTTCCTTTGGAACTGTCCTGAAGGTGCTAGATTGTACGCAGAAAGCTGTATTTGCTGTGAAGGTAGGACCTAGGCATTTTTCCACATTATGTTTTATTCCCTGCTTCTAATCTTGGTTCCAGAGAAATTTGGAGGAATAAATGATTAAATATACTATTCTCCTCCATGAGTCATCAGTCTTTTCCTTTTATAGGTGGTACCCAAGGTAAAAGTCCTACAGAGGAACACCGTGAGGCAATGTAAAGAAGAGGTTAGCATCCAGGTATGCTGAGACCTGGAAAGGATTGTGAGAAGAGCTAAACCGTATCTGGGGGAAGCACCTTTCTTGTTGAAATTCCTTGATTTTCCTGGTTCTGCTCCTGCTGTTTGTTTCAGCCTTATTTAATAGCAGATTAAATCCTGGGAAAAGTAGCCATCAGCTATCAACATAGGTACTCAAGCTCTTGGCAGAGAAATCTCCAGCATGTCCCAGTATGTTTCTTAGTATCATGCTGGTTCCAGGATTACCAAGCTGTCAATCTCAATTATTGAGTTCCTCTAAACAGAAGTGAGGCAGCGGCTCCTTCTCAGTATAACCAGATTTTTGGGCTGCCTTTATTCTTGGTGACCTTGTTGTTCCTTAACTTCCTCTTTTCTTTGTCCCTAGCAACAGATCAGCCATCCTTTTTTACACAGCTTGGGGGATAGCTGGCAAGGAAAACGGCACCTCTTCATTAGTGAGTATCTAGCCCCTCTCCTCAACCCCAAGGGTCCTTGAATCATTCTTCCTACCTGAGATTACTTGTCTCTCTGGGCTTGTTTTACCTCTGCTCTGTTCCCTTCTCATAGCACCTCTGTATCCCAAAGGGAGAGGGAACAGCAGGTGACATCAGTTAGGGTAGGAGGCCTACAAGGCCTTGAGTCCAGACACTGTAGCCCCCAAAACATTGCCTACACTTCTGGTGCTTTGCAGTGTGTAGCTACTGCAGCACAGATCTGTACTCCCTTTGGTCTGCTGTTGGCTGCTTTCCTGAGGCTTCCATCCGTCTTTTTGCTGCCGAGCTGATCCTGGTGCTGTGTAAGTGAAATGGGTAAAGGAAATGGGGAGAGAAGAGGTAAGTTGCAGGGGATGGGAGAAATAATTGATATTAACTCTGGAAGTCTAAGGAAAAGGGTAAGGATGGGGTAGGGCCTACTAGGGAAACTGGAAAGGAGAGCTCAGCACATTCCATGCTTACTATCATTCACAGGCTATCTCCATGACTTGGGCATCATCCATCGAGATGTGAAGGTAGAGTTAAGTGCTTTTTCTCTTTGTCTGAGGATAAGCCTCAGTAAGAAGTCCCAGTAGGTCAAGAAGGCAGGTGGAGAGCTGAGAACAGCTGACCATAGGGCCCCAATGGGTGCCAGGGATTTGTGTAAGGGGCCTTTAGGTATAGACTTTTTTTTTTTTTTTTTTTTTTTTTTTTTTTTTTTGACAGGCAGAGTTATACGGTGAGACAGAGAGAAAGGTCTTCCTTTTTCAGTTGGTTCACCCCCCAAGTGGCCGCCATGGCCGGCCGCTGCTCCAATCTGAAGCCAGGAGCCAGGTGCTTCTTCCTGGTCTCCCATGCGGGTGCAGGGCCCAAGCACTTGGGCCATCCTCCACTGCACTCCCGGGCCACAGCAGAGAGCTGGACTGGAAGAGGAGCAGCTGGGACAGAATCTGGTGCCCCGACCGGGACTAGAACCCGGTGTGCCGGTACTGCAGGCAGAGGATTAGCCTAGTGAGCCACGGCGCCGGCCTGGTATAGACTTGAATGCTGAGCAGGGCATCTTCTTCAGCTGTGGTTATCTGTGGTGAAAGAGAGTTGAAAGGAAGAAGAAGAATAATAACTTCTCACCTGTGTCTTTCAGATGGAAAATATCCTTCTGGATGAACGAGGTAAGACTTTTTTGTTTCCCAATCCCAGTATAAGAGTTATCTTAGTTTGGAAATAAATCATGGCTGATGAGGGATAGAATGGAGTGCTGCTGTTGCCTTATCTTTTTTCATAGGCCATCTGAAACTGACAGACTTTGGTCTGTCCCGCCGCCTACCCCAGGGAGCCCGAGCCTATACTATTTGTGGCACTCTTCAATACATGGGTAAGAGAGACTAAAGCTGGTGGGTAAGCATTGGGCAAGAGAGCCAAAAGATATCAGTGACAAGTATCTTTCAAATCTGTAGCCCCAGAGGTCCTGAGTGGAGGGCCTTACAACCATGCTGCTGATTGGTGGTCCTTGGGTGTCTTGCTTTTCTCTCTGGCAACTGGAAAGGTGAGAATGGTGTAGGGCAGAGAACAGGGGAGCTGTGCTCTGTGAAGAAAGACTAGGAAATTTTGCTTTATTCCCACTTCCTGCCTCTTAACTCAGTTCCCAGTGGCTGCAGGTAGAGATCATGTGGCCATGTTGGCAAATGTGACCCACTGTGACTCTGAGATCCCAGCTTCTCTTAACCAGGAGCTCTCACTCCTGCTTCATGAGGTAAGGGTAAGCATTTTTCTTCTTGACCACCAGTCCATTCACTGTATCCTTCCCTTTTCATTGAAGTTACACTTCCAGTTCCATTGATTAATTTTTTAGAGGAGCTCTAATTAACCACCTCACTACTTGCCCTCTAACCTTCAGATTTCCTTCAGTTCTTCAGATTTCATTCCTGAGTTCCTGATCTCTCCAATCTCCTCCCCATCCAGAACAGATAAATCCTGAGAGTGGACTAGTTCTGCACTCTTACCACCTGAAAATGCACACAGTTCCTTTATTCCTACCATTGCCACAAATTATCCTCTAATGCTCCCTCTTTTTCAAATCCTCAAATTTGTAGGGTCCTTCCTTCCCTCCACAGCTTCACAAACTTCTTTTCCATCTTCTCAGTTCAGCTTCTTCTCTACCTCATCCCTTATCCTTCATGCTCTATTTTCCTTCAGCTCTTATGCCAGAATCCCCTCCACCGTCTGCGTTATCTACATCACTTCCAAGTCCACCCTTTCTTTCGGGGTATGGCCTTTGACCCAGAGCTCCTACAGAAGCAGCCAGTGAATTTTATCATGGAGACACAAGCTACCCAACGTAGTCCATTGGAGTCTATGCCATTCAAGGACTTTGACTGTGATCTGGAGTCCTTCCTGGTCCACCTCAACCATGCTTGAGCCTCTACCCGTGCTTGAACTGCTACTAGATTGGAACGAGCTGAGAACCTGAGGATCTCCTCCACTGTATGACCACTTTGAAAATCCAGTTTAGCACCTTACCATTTTATTCTTCCAAGCGTTGGAGCAGAGTTCATATTCTAAGTCATTCTGCTTTTGGTATAGCCACAACTGGTTCTAGCTCTTCCTCAACATACGCCCACCTCTCAGTTCAGATCAAGGTGGTGATCTTTTCCTTTGCTTTACTTCTCCTTACTCTTATCCTCAAGCTGAAGCTGAAGGTAGCTTCTACTTTTCCCTCTCCTTCTGTCTTTGCCATGGGTCCCAAGGTACTATCTATGTGTTTAATAGGCTTACTGGAAACAATATGAATGTTTTTCAAGGATCTCAAAAGCTGGCATTTCAACCGCTAAGTATGCAGCTAACAAATGTGATATGGGATCTTGAGACCAGTCTGTAATAAATGTAATTTTTATGAATTGGAAAGTGAATCTAATAGCCTAATGTGAGGAAGAAAACAGAAACAAAAAAAGGAAAATATGGATGGGTTAAATGTGTTATCTAGGGGTGATTGGAACAGCTATCCAAATCTTTGCTAAAACTAAACCTCCTTGAAAGACATAGGATTGGGGCCAACGCTGTGGCGTGTGGGTGAAGCTGCTGCCTGCAGTACTGGCATCCCATATAGGCACTGGTTTGAGTGTGGGCTGCTCCACTTCCAATACAGCTGTCTGCTGTGGCCTGGGAAAATGAAAGATGCCCCAATTCCTTGGGCCCCTGCAACTGCGTGGGAGACCAGGAAAAAGACCCAGGCTTCTGGCTTTCGGATCACCTCAGCTCAGCTCAGCTCCAGCCGTTGCAGCCAACTGGGGAGTGAACAAGCAAATGGAAGACCTCTCTCTGCCTCTGCCTCTGCAACAAATAAATAAATCTTTAAAAAAAAAAAGAAAGAAAGAAAAAAGAAACATAGGATTATTAAATTGATCATTTCCCCTAGACTGCCCGATTCAGTTCGTAGTGGGCAAACCAAGCAACTGAGAGGTATGACATGAATGCCAAGATTGAAAGTTACAGATGTGCATCAAGAAGCATTTCCTTTTGTAAGGAAAATCATCTGGATCTTGAATTTGTATACATTTCTAGTGTTTATGACTTTTCATTTTTCTTTAACTTTTCAAAAGCTTCATTTTTGTTCTGAAATTTGAGGGGAAATACTTAAGCTCTATTTTTCCTGTATATAGCTGGCATTTTACTGGCCTCTACAGAGTTGCTTTTTCTGGATTGTGCTTTTTAGCAATCCATTTGAAAAATCTCTGTATGAAACTTATTTGCTGTGGATACTCTAAAAGGGTGCTTATCATTATAGTTAATATTTTACTTAAGGATGCATGGGAGAAGTTTTCTCTGGACCTAGTTGTGCTTTTCCTTAATTGCTGTTTTTTACTTTAGGAAAGTAAATATTCAACTGTTTACTCTTTGTACTAATGCTAGACCACTTAGAACCTGATTTGTAGTCCACCTCCAACAAGTATTTATTTGTATGCTAGTCACGTTCTTGGTTCCAGCTTCCTGTTTTTATTTTCCTTAGTCTAATTTTAAAATTTTAATCTTTTTTTAGATTACTGTTTTATCTATATCCTTATAAGCCTTTTTTGGAATAAGATTGGCATCTAAATAAATAGAATATATCTTTCACTCTTATGTCATGTGTTTTGTGACCAGAATTGCACACTGGATAAAAACCCTGAATACTAAAAATAGAAATTAATGGTTTGAAAAGAGTAGTTAAGAGCATTAGATTGGAATTTAGAATTTAGGAAAACTGGTGCCTGGATCCACCAATAACTATTTCAGTGTCTTTAAACAAGTCATTTGAATCTTTCTGGATCTTAGTTTCTGGACGTAAAAAATGAGTTACAACCACTGATTGTTAATTGTGGATATAGTTTCAGGTTTCTGTGATGCATTTTCAAAGGGCAGATGCAGAGGTTTTTATGATCCTGTGTGTCTGGCTCAGTGTTAATTAATGTTCAGTTTATCCAACATTAAATGGCTTTTGTCACAGCATAATGGGCTAAGGTCCTGAGGAAATGGTTAACAATATCATTAGGATTTCTTTCCTAGGTCCAAGTTTAAGTAAAATTTGAAAAAACACTGCTTTCTTCCTCCATTCAGAGTCACTGACCTACACATATATAATACCTATTACTTACTTCCATGAAATTCACATAGCATTTATTAATATACACTGAAATGATCTTTTAGGTTTATCCTTATGCTTTGATTTTTCATTACCTAGAATGTAAACATGGATATTTTACTGTATATTCCATCTTCTACAAAAGTTTAAGATTAGTCTTAACACTAATCCTTGTAATCTTCTAGAAAAATCTTTGTAGGGGCTGGTGCTGTGGCATAGTGGATAAAGCTGCTGCCTGTGTCACCAGCATCCCATATGGGTGCTGTTTCAAGTCCTACCTGCCCCACTTCTGATCCAGCTCCCTGCTAATTCACCTGGGAAAGCACAGAAGATGGCCCAAATACTTGGGTCTTTGTATCCACGTGGGAAACCTGGAAGAAGCTCCTGGCTCCTAGCTCCTGGCTTTGGATAGGCCCAGCTCCAGCCGATGTGGCCATTTGGGGATCGAACTAGATGAAGGATCTTTCTCTGCCTTTCAAATAAATAAATAAATCTTTAAAAGAAAAGTCTTTGTAGCTCCACTCATTGTTTTTACCTCTAACCTATATTGTTATTCATTTGTTGACTTCTTCAGTGACTTAAGAAGATTGTAATCTCAATTCCTTGGTTACTTTAGATAGTATCTTTTTTAAAGATTTATTTATAAGTCAGAATTACAGATAGGAAGAGAAGGTGCCAGTCTCTCATAGTACCAGCTGTTGTAACCATTTGGGGAGTAAATCAGTGGATAGAACTCTGTCTCTTTCTGTCACTCTGCTGTTCAAATTAAAAAAAAAAAATACATCTCTTTTTTAAAAAAATGGAGTAGGACAGATAAACACAGGAGGAAGACCATAAAAAGGGAGAAGGTGGACATTTTTTAAGCCAGCAAGAGAGGCCTCAGAAGAAACCAATTCTGCTAGCACCTTGATCTCTGACATCTAACCTCCAGAATTAGGAGAAAATAAATATTACTTAAGGCATTCAGTCTGTGGAGCTTTGGTAAGACAGCCCCAGAAAACTAATATAGGCCGGCGCTGCGGCTCACTAGGCTAATCTTCCTGTGGCGCCGGTACCCCGGGTTCTAGTCCCGGTTGCTCCTCTTCCAGTCCAGCTCTCTGCTGTGGCCTGGGAGTGCAGTGGAGGATGGCCCAAGTCCTTGGGCCCTACACCTGTGTGGGAGACCAGGAGAAGCACCTGGCTCCTGGCTTTGGAATGGTGCAGCGCACTGGCCGTGGTGGCCATTGGGGGTGTGAACCAACGGAAGGAAGACCTTTCTCTCTCTCTCTCTCTCTCCACTCTGCCTGTCAAAAAAAAAAAAAAAAAAAAAAAAAAAAAAAAAAAAAACCTTAAAAAAACTACCGTGAAGAGTTCTAATAATCAGGATTTTTTTTTTTTTTTTTAACAGCAGACAGGCAGATTTAGACAGAGAGACAAACGTCTTCCTTCCGTTGGTTCATCCCCCAAGTGGCCGCTATGGCTGGCGCGCTGCGCAGATCCGAAGCCAGGAGCCAGGTGCTTCCTCCCGGTCTGCCATGCGGGTGCAGGGCCCAAGCACTTGGGCCATCCTCCACTGCACTCCCGGGCCACAGCAGAGAGCTGGACTGGAAGAGGAGCAACCGGGACAGAATCCAACTCTCCGACCGGGACTAGAATCCGGTGTGCTGGCGCCGCAGGCGGAGGATTAGCCTAGTGAGCCGCGGCACCGGCCAAGGAATTTTTTATTTACAAAAATAATAGGCTCTTTTCCCCCCTGAAACATACTGTTTCAGATTTCCTTGACCCCTTTGAGAGTTCTGTAGGTATATGGAGCCCCATTGATGAAAAGCTGCCACACTGCCTCCTTTATTTATCACAAATAGAACTAGGGCTAATAATTCCAGTTTCATCCTTGAGTTCACTCAAAACTGACATACTTCTCAGGGTTGCTGATTTGGATTATATAGTAGGATTTTTACAAAATTTGTAGTCCTGAGATTGGTGCTATGACATTGCAGGTAAAGCCACCCCCTGCAGTGCCAGCATCCCATATAGGCACCAGTTTTGAGTGCTGGCTGCTCCACTTCCAATCCAGCTCCCTGATAGTGTGCCTGAGAAGGCAGCAGAGGATGGCCCAAGTACCTGGGCCCCTGGCACCTACTTGGGAGACCTGTAAGAAGCTCTTGGCGCCTGTCTTCGGATCAGCCCAGCTCTAGCTATTGCAGCCATTTGGGGAGTGATCAGCGGTTTGAGGATCTCTCTTTCTCCCTCTCTAATTCTGCCTTTCAAATAAATAAATCTTTAAAAAAGCAAAACAAAATCTCTAATCCTAGAATTTAAAAATTATAGGGGCTGGTGTTGTGGTGCAGTGGGTTAAAACCCTGGCCTGAAGCAACGGCATCCCAAATGGGCATTGGTTCTAGTCCCGGCTGCTCCTTTTCCAATCCAGGTCTCTGCTGTGGCCTGGAAAAGCAGAAGATGGCCCAAGTCCTTGGGCCCCTGCACCCACATGGGAGACATGGGAGACCTGGAAGAAGCTCCTGGCTCCTGGCTTTAGATTGGCCAGCTCCGGCCATTGCAGCCATATGGGGAGTGAACCAGCAGATGGAAGACCTCTCTGTCTCTACCTCTCTCTGTAACTCTTTCAAATAAATAAAAATCTTAAAAGAATTTAAAAATTATAGCAAAAATATTTAAATACTTTATTTAAAAGGCAGAGCATCAGAGAGGACAGAGAGATCTTCTGTCTACTGGTTCAATCCCCAAATGGTCACAACAGCATCAGCTGGGCCAGGCTGAAGCAAAGAGGCAGAACAGGTCTCCCACATAGGTGGAAGGGGCCCAAGCACTTGAACCATCATCTGTTGTCGTAGTGCCTTAGCAGGAATTTAGATTGGAAGCAGAACAGCTGGGACTCAAACTAGCATTTTGATGTAGGATGTTGGCATCATAAGCAGCAGTTTAACCTGCTGTGCTACAATGCCAGCCCCACAAATTACAACTTTTTAAATAGCTGGACCTGTTTCATATCATATGCAAAACTTAATCCCAGATAAAATATTTAAATATAATTAAAACATTACAAATTTTAAAACATCTAGGAAACAAGGGAATGAGGCAATAGTTAAACCAAGAAAAAAATGAAAGTACTCTGAAACATATTTACATAAAAATTTGATGAGAGGAGCCAATGTTGTGGCACAACAAGTATAAGCCATGGCCTACGATGCTAGATCCCAACATCCCATATGAGAGTTCCAGTTTAGGTCCTGCTGCTCCAATTTAATGCACCTGGGGAAGCAGCAAAGATGGCCCAAATACTTGGGCTTCTGCCACCTACATGGAGACCTGGATGGAGTTCATGGCTTCTGGTTTTGGCCTGACACAGCCACTCTGCTCTTCCAATAAATAAATCCTTAAATTTTTTTCTGCTGAAAGGATGACTCAAGATGAGAAACTGAGATGTTATGATAGGGAAGATCTTTGACCACATGAAAATTTTATCTTTGTATGGAAAAAGATACCATTAGTAAAATCAGTTGGTAAACATAAATATGTGCAGGGTAGGCATTGTGGTGAAGCAGGTTAAGCCACCACTTGGGATGCCTACATCTCATATCAGAGTGCCTGGTTTGAATATGCTACTCCACTTCTAATTCAGCTTCTTGCTAATGTACATGGGAAGACACCAGATGGTGGCTGAAGTACTTGGGTTCCTGCCACCCACGTAGGAGACCTTGACAGAGTTGCTTCCTGGCTGTTGGCTTCAGACTAGCCTGGCCCTGGCATTCGAAGAGTGAACCAGCATACAGATCTCTCTTTCTCCACCCCCACCCCTGTTACTCTGCCTTTCAAATAAAGCTTTAAAAAATGTGAAATATGATGACAGACAATGTCTATTACAGAACTCTCAAGTTAGAAAACTTGAAAATAAGGGACATGAAGTGACAAGTCAATCAGAACCATATCATCGGGGCTGGCATGGAGGCGTAGCAGGTAAAGCTGCCACCTGCAGTGCTGGCATCCCATATAGATGCTGGTTCGGGTCCTGGCTGCTCCATTTCCTATCTCTGCTATGGCCTAGGAAAGCAGTAGAAGGGCCTCTGCACCGGCATGGGAAACTTGGAAGAAGCTCCTGGTTCCTGGCTCCTGATAGCTCAGCTCCGGCTGTTGCAGACAATTAGGGAACCAGCGGAAGGAAGACCTCTCTCTCTCTCTTGTTCTCTCTCTCTCTCTCTCTCTCTGACTCTTCTTTTCTCTCTTTGTAAAAAATAAATAAAAAAAATAAAAAAGAACCATATCAGCTGGCTTGGAAAGGTTTTTACAATCCACTGAATGGACCACAATACAGAAGTGTAAGAAATCCCAGTTTTGTAAAAGATTTCATCTGCCCAGTTTGTACATAAGTGGTGGTGGTGGGGGGGAGCATTGAGAAAGAATATCAGAGAAGGGCTGGCGCCGTGGCTCACTAGGCTAATCCTCCGCCTTGCGGCGCCGGCACACCAGGTTCTAGTCCTGGTCGGGGCGCCGGATTCTGTCCCAGTTGCCCCTCTTCCAGGCCAGCCCTCTGCTATGGCCCGGGAGTGCAGTGGAGGATGGCCCAAGTACTTGGGCCCTGCACCCCATGGGAGACCAGGAGAAGCACCTGGCTCCTGGCTTCGGATCAGTGCGATGCACCAGCCGCAGCGCGCCGGCCGTGGCGGCCATTGGAGGGTGAACCAATGGCAAAAGGAAGACCTTTCTCTCTCTCTCTCACTGTCCACTCTGCCTGCCCCCTCCCCCAAAAAAAAGATTATCAGAGAAAAGAACCAAGGAAGGAGAAAGTAATTCTAGTGGAAAAAAAGGGGTGGTGGGGTGGGGGTGGGGGGTAGAAGACATAACCCACAGTCCCAAACACTCCAGTGTGCTTCAATTAATTTTGGGGAAAAATAAAATCAGTGCATATGTATGTGTATGTAAGTAAATGAAATAAAACCTCTATATGTGTGTGTACATGCATGTTTTTCTAAAGGGGAATATAAAACTGGTTACTGTAGGAGGGTGGAGTGTCTTTAATACATCTTTGCATTTTATGTATTGTCTCACTTGCTCTAAGCATCTTTTTATTTGAAAAAACACTTTTTAAAAGTTATAACATTTTGCCTTTTTTGTACAAAAGCTTCAAAATCCAGTGGGTATTTTACACCTAGGGCTACTCCCAATTTAGATTAGCAACATCTGGGTGCTCAACACCACGTGTTAGGCTAGTGGCTGAGGTATTGAACAGCCCAGTTCTAGAACAGCCTATAGCCTGAGGGCCCTGCAGTTCATAACCGACTATATATAGTTCCTCCCTTTGGGACTGCTGCTTTGCCCAAGTCATTAGGACTTCCAGAGTGTAAATAAGGTGCCCTGAGGCTTCAAAAGGAACACTCGCCCACCACTGATGAACTCTGAATACCTGCCTTTCGGCTGCTTTCAAAAACCAATCCCACTTTCAATGGACAGATTTCTCAAATAGGAGGAATGCAAGAGACAGCAGAATGTAGTGGGCTGTGTCTACTATGTGGGACCTCGGACAAACGACATACTCTTTCTAGGTTTCAGTTCCTTCGTCTATAAAATGGGGATGTTTACAGCCATTCCTACTTCGTAGGTCCTTATGAGGATTGAATGAGCGAATACATAGAAAAAGGCACTGCAAGAGCCAGCGCTGTGGCATAGTGGGTAAAGTCGCTGTCTACAGTGCCAGCATCCCATATGGGCGCCAGTTTGAGTCCCGGCTGCTTCATTTCCAATCCAGCTCTCTGCTATGGCCTGGGAAAGCAGTAGAAGATGGCCCAAGTCCTTGGACCCCTGCACCCATATGGGAGACCTGGAAGAAGCTCCTGGCTTTGGATCGTCGCTGCTCCGGTCATTGCGGCCAACTGGGGAGTGAACCATCGGATGGAAGACCTCTCTCTCCCTCTCCTTCTCTCTGTGTGTAACTCTTTAAAATAAATACATACATCTTAAAAAAAAAAAAAAAAGGCACCGCACCAGGTACATAAATGCTCAACACAGTACATGGTAGCTACTATTCCGGTGGACTTGTCACAGGCCCCAAGGTCAGCTCCAGGCAAAGTCCAGAAGGTTGGCACAGGCACCGGGGCCCAGGTTGAGAACTACGTCCCAGGCCCGCACGGGTGTGAGGACCTAAGCACAAACTGCCCAAGCGTCAGGAAAAAGCACCCACTCACCCATCATCCTGGTCTCCCCGGCCTGCTCTTTCCTGTCAAGGCTGAGGCGATGCGTTACTAAGGGAGACCTGACGAGACCTGACAACTTTCCTGACGGGGTGTGAGGGCGGTCCACTGGAAGCAGGAAGGATGGAGTCCCCGACTCTCCAGCTACCTGTCCGGTCCTCTCTGATGTGCGGACACAACTCCCGCCTCCGACCTGGTCCGTGTCCAGTCCTCAAGCCGGCGTCTGAGGTAGAGTTGCTCGGGAGACGGCGCGCCGCGCGTGGGCGGGTCCAGCCTGAGGGGGCGTGGCTAAGCGAGGCCCCGCCCTCCGGGCGCCGCCGGGCTCCAGCCTCGAGCGACGCACCGTTCTGACGCACTGCGTCTCCACAGCCAATCGGGAAGCGCAGAGTCGGTTCAAATAAAGACGGCGGGTGGACATGGGGTTCGCGAATCTTTCGGGCAGGTGATCGATCTGCGTCTTGTGTTAAAGATGTGGAGGGTGAAGAAACTGAACCTCGGCCTGTCGCCTTCGCCTCAGCCGGTGAGCGGGAGGGTCTGGAGGAGAGAGCGCTGGGCCGGGGTATGGGGGCGAGGGGACCGGCAGTGCCAAGGTTCCCGGGAAACTGGGTCGAGTTGGGGGCGGGGGGCCCGAGGAGTCTTTTTGTGGCTACGGCTCGATAGGAGTGGGACCCTTACTCTTCTTTTTGACTCAAGGGCTTCTCCAGAAGGAAGGAGGCCGGGCTGGCAGAACCCGAGCTTCCTCACACTCACTGACTTCTCACGTTCCTTCTCAGGGGAAACCAGCTATGAGGACTCCTCTCCGAGAGCTCATGCTGCAGCCCAGTCCCCTCAGCAACTCTGGAAAAATGTCGCCTGCGTGCTCCTCGCTGACCCCATCGCTGTGCAAGCTGGGGCTGCAGGTGAGATTCGCCTGGACAGCTTCTCGCCTGGGCAAACAGCCCAGAGAGCTCAGAGGAGCAGAGGGCCGGGGCTGGAACGTAATTAATAACGATAATGAAGTCTTCTACCTCAGTGACTTCTATTTACAGCTATTCAGGCCAACTGAGAGGTGCCCTCGGGTAGTTAAAAGGAAATCCACCGAGAACCTGAATCTCCATTTAGCTGGTAGCTGGGAGTTTTTATTACCTCCTTTCCCATTCGACCTTTATCAAACTGTTGGGATATACTAGCACTCTGATTGGTGGTCTCCCTCTAACATGGCTTAGGTATGAAGAGGTCTATTTGCTACAAGAATGAGCTGTCTCCTTCCACTCCAGGAGGTGGCCAAGTCTCTTGGGATCAAATTACACCAATGGAAGATAGGGTGCTTGGACTCCCTAGCTTATCCCTTGCAGACTGCCCTCAGTGAGTTGTACTTTTGTCAAAGATCTTGAAAGATGTAGCCATGTACAAACTGCTCTTCATTTGTTGTAAAAACTTGCCAAGGAAGCCAAATGACCCTTCTAGAAGGTTCCTAAAAGAAATATTTTTGATTTATTACCTGGGAAAATTATCTTCCTAAAGAAATTGCTATCCTTTTTGTAATGAGAACTGTGACTTTGCCATATTTTTCCTCTTTCTCTGGCTTCCAGAAAGCTTAGGGTCAAATTTGATGATTAGTGCCAGTTACTTTTTTTTTTTTTTTTAAGATTTATTTTTTTGGGGGCCAGCACTGTGGCATAGGTTAAGCATCCACCTGCAGCACCAATATCCCATATGGATGCCAGTTAAAGACCTGGCTGCTTCATTTCCGATCCAGCTCCCTGCTAATGGCTTGGGAAAGTGCTTGGGCTCCTGCATCTACATAGGAGACCCCTAAGACGCTTCTGGCTCCTGGCTTTGGATCATTCCAGCTCTGGCCATTATGACCATTTGGGGAGTAAACCAGCAGATGAAAGGCCTCTCTCTGTGTTTCTCCCTCTCTCTATCTGTAACTCTGCCTCTCAGACAGAACTTGGGGGTGGGGGGAGGAGAGAGAGAGAGAGAGCAAGCAAGTGACCTTCCATCTGCTGGTTCACTCTCTAAATGGCTGCAAGAACTGGGACTGGGCCAGACTGAAGCCAGGAATTCCAACCTGGTCTCACACATGGGTGTCAGGGGCCCAAGTAATTAGGCCTGGTGCACTAGCATGGAACTGGATCAAATGTGGAGCAGCCAAGACTCAAACTGCACTCCAGTGTGGGTTGCCAGCATCACAAGCAGTGGCTTAACCTGCACCACAGTGCCAGTTCCTTTCCATTTTCATATGCTGACTCAGATCTTTCTTTACCTTAGAGAAATTTTATTCTAATATTTGTTTTAAACTTTTAAAAAGATTTATTTATTTATTTGAAAAGCAGCATTAACACAGAGAGAGAGAGAGATCTTCCAGCCACTGGTTCACTCCTCAAGTGGCCTCAATGGCTGGAGCTAGCCCTATCAGAAGCCAGGAGCCGGGAGCATCTCCTGGGTATTCTACGTATGTGCAGGGGCCCAAGTTCTTAGGCCATCTTCTACTGCTTTCCCAGGTACATTAACAGGGAGCTGGATTGGAAGTGGAACTGCTAGGACTCAAACCAGTGTCCATATAACATGCCAGCACTGCAGACAGCGGCTTTACCCTCTATACCACAGCGCTGACCCCTTAAATTTTTTTTTATTTAAATTTTTTATTTATTTATGTGAAAGGCAGAGATAGTGACAGAGATCTACCAACCACTGGTTTACTCTCCAAATGCCTGCATCTGCTATGGGTGAGCCAGGATGAACCTAGGAGCGCAGAATCTAGGTCTTCCACATGGGTGGCAGGGACCTAAGTACTGACTCCCAGGCTGCACATTGGCAGGGAGCTGTAATCAGAAGCAAAATCAGGATTCAAACCCAGGCACTCTGAGGTGGGATTCAGGCATCTCAACTGGCATTTTAATACCTACACCCTAACATTTGTTAATCAGTACCTCATCTGTATTATGTTCTCTTTTCTTCTGGAATTTCTTTTATTCAAATGTTAGGTTTCCTGGGTTTATCTTCCATTTTTCCTAGCTTTTCCCTCAGATTTATGTTTTCTTTGTCCTTTATCTTTCCTTTTTTTTTTTTTTTTTTTTTTTAAGGCTTATTTATTTATTTGAAAGGCAGAGTTACAGAGAGGCAGAGGCAGAGAGAGAAAGAGAGGTCTTCCATCTGCTGGTTCACTCCCCAAATGGCTGCAATGGCCGGAGCTGGGCCAATTCGAAGCCAGGAGCCAGGAGCTGCTTCTGGTTCTCCCATGTGGGTGGCAGAGGCCCAAGCACTTGGACCGTCTTCTGCTTTCCCAGGCTATAGCAGAGAGTTGGATCGGAAGTAGAGCAGCTGGTACACGAACTGGCACCAATATGGGATGCCGGCACTATAGGCGGCAGCCTTATCTGCTATGCCACAGCGTCGGCCCCTTTCCAATTCATTTTACTGAGATTTTTTTCTTTAAGGTAATTATTATTTCTGTAAAGTTTGTTTTGTATGTGTTAAATTTGAATATTCTTTAAAATTTTATTTATTTGAAAGAGTTAGAGAAAGGGAGAAAGAGAGAGAAAGAGAGATTTTTCATACACTGGTTCACTACCCAAATGGCTATAACAGCTAGGGCTGGCCTAAGCTGAAGCCAGAAGCCAGGAACTTCATTCGACTCTCCCACATGGGTGGCAGGGTCCCAAATACTTGGGCCATCTTCCACTGCTTTCCCAGGCACATTAGCAGGGAGCTGAGTCAGAAGTAGAGCAGCTGGGATTTAAATCAGTTCTCAGAGGGATGCCAGTATTACAGATAGAGGCTTTGAGCCTTCACTCACACCCCATCGACCTTTCTCTCTGTTTCTCTGGATATGAGTTGGAGTTAGGTATAGGGATGAGTAGGGTCACATTCAAGCTGCATCTCCCTGTGACATGGATAGATATCCTCAGCCTGTTTTTCACTATAGCTTAGTTCACTTGGAAGGACCCAAAGTGGCTTACCTACTTATCTTCCCCTACTGTTGAATCTCTGTAGTGAGCAACAAAGCTGATTTTTACTTAAGCAGAGGTAATAACAACTCTCCTTTTTTGAGTTTTGATATTAGGAACTGAATTGACTGCCTTGGCCAAATACTTTTATTTCCTTTGGCAGGCAGGTGACAACAATTTCTCTCCACTGGATTTTGTCAATGCCAGGAGGACAGACTCCCCTTCAGAACAATTCAGCCATTCCTCACAGTGGCTAGATGCTTGTCAGTATAAATTAGATGAGCAGCTGCAAACCAATTTTATTCCCAAAACTTCTGAGGAAACAGTAGACTCAATGGACAACAGTGTGGTTAAGACCATGGTCTTTGTACCTTCTGCACCGGGGGAGCAGCAAGACATCACACTTGAGGCCCATTCAGATGCTGTGACAGAGACAAACAATACGTCTCTAGATGAGCCTGTGAGGCCAGAAGATGTGGTGAGAAAGAAGGTGGCGCCTTCCGTGGAAGACAGCTTTTTGGAAGTGGTTGCTGCTGTGCCTGAGAAACTGGCATGTCAGGATGCTGCAGCCTGTCTGGAGCATCTACCAGATCCCTGTTCCGAGCAACAACTACACTGCTCCAAGGAAGCCCTGGGGGTCAGGAGGCCTGAGGACTTGGTACCTTCTGAAAGAAATGCCTTCTTGCCTTCCAGCCTCTGCCTTTTCCCTTCAACTGCCTTGGAAACAGATTTCCCTGTTGATCAGGTCGACTCAGGGGAGGAAACTGCAGCTCACAGAGCTAGAGGGGAAAGAGAGATGAGCTTTCCCACACTCCCTGATGTGATTAAACTGGAAGATGAAGCATTTGTCTCAAATGTGGAGAATGTTCCTTCCATGTGCCTTTCACCAAATCCAGTAGAAATGGAATCCCAAGGAGCTTCAGGCCCAGCAGAAGATGCTGGTAGGATTCTTGCCTCTGATTCAGAGTCTTGGATGTCTCCATTGGCCTGGTTAGAAAAAGATATAAATACCTCAGTCATGCTGGAAAATCTCCGCCAAAGCTTATCCCTTCCCTCTGTGCTTCCGGATGCTGGGCTTGGCACTACTCCTTTCTCTACCTGTTCCGTGGGGACTTGGTTTACTCCCCCAGCACCACAGGAAAAAAAAACAGACAAATCCCAGGCAGAAGCAGTGGGTACTGAGGATAGTGCTTCTGAGACACAGCATCTCCCATGGGGGTAAGTGCCCTATATCCTTGTGAGCTCCATTACCCTGGACCTGCTACTCCCATCCTTCCCCTCCCTTTTTTTCCCTTATGTTCTCTTCCTGTTGCAGCCGTCCTCCAGATCTGACTACCTTGTCTCGACATGACCTAGAAGATAACCTGCTGAGCTCCCTTGTCCTTCTGAAGGTTCTCTCCCATCAGCTACAGGCCTGGAAGAGCCAGCTGGCTGTCCCCCGCCTAGAAGCCCAGGACAGTAGTACACAGACAGACACCTCTCCAAATGGGGTAAGAATGTTCTTCTCAAAGCTTGGAGGATCCTACTGGGCCCTGTCCTTCAGAATTTAGTCTGATAACCTGCCAGAGAACAAAATCATAGGTTCTTCAGAATGTGTGTGAAAGCTGGAAAATCTTTAAAGCTGTGGGTACTCACTATACCCCTATTCCAAGGGGATATAGTATCCAAGGGGATACTGACATTGTGGCATAGCAGGTTAGGCTACCACTGGCAACACTGGCATCCTATGTCAGAATGGCAGTTTGAATTCAGGCTGCTATACTTCCCATCCAGTTCCTTGCTAATGCGCCTGGGAAAGCAGTGGAAGATGGCCCACGTACCTGGGTCCCTGCCACCCACACTGAAAACCTGGATGGAATTCCAGGCTCCCGGCTTCAGCCTGGCCCAGCCTCGACCACTGTAACCATTTGGGGAGTGAACCAGCAGATGAAAGATAACTCTCTTTGTCTTTCCCTCTCTCTCTCTCTCACTTTGCCTTTCAATAAATAAAATAAATATTTGGGAAAATAAAATAATAAAGACTTTCCAAGGGAGCATAAGCAAGGAAAACTTAAATTTTAAAAAATATTTATTTTGGATGTTAGAGTTACAGAGAGAGGGGGAGATACAGATCTTCCATCTGCTGCCTCACTCCCCAGCTGGCTGCAATGGCCAGCCCTGGGCCAGGCCAAAGCCAGGAGCCAGGAGCCAGGAGCTTCTTCTGGGTCTCCCATGTGGATGGCAGGGGCCCAGGTACTTGGGTCACCATCTGCTGCTTTCCCAAGCCATTAGCAGGGAGCTGGACTGAAGCAACCAGGACAAGAATCAGTGCCCATATGGGATGCTAGCATTGCCGACAGCAGTTTTACCTGCTACACCACAGTGCTGGCCCCAAACAGAGATAATTTTTAAAGGAATTGGTTTTGAGGATGGTGTTGTGCAGAGGATTAGGCTGCCATTTGCAATGCCAGCATCCCATGTTGGGGTACCAGTTTGAGTTCTGGCTGCTATCTTCTAATCCAACTCCCTGCTGGTGCAACTGGAAGAGCAGCGGAGGGTGGCCTAAGTGCTTGGGCCCCACCCATGTGGAAGACTCAGGTGAGGTTCCAGGCTGCTGGCTTCAGCCTGGCTCAGCCCTAACTCTTGTGGCCATTTGGGGGGTGAACCAACAGATAGAGGATTTCTCTCTATGTCTCTCCCCTCTCTCTCCGTTACTCTGCTTTAGAGAGAGAGAGAGAGAGAGAGAGAAAAGGAATTGCTAGAACTTCATCTTCCAAATGTACTCTTTACTAATTTTTGCCTTTCCTGCTTCCTTCTTCTCGCTTGTCCTTGCCCACTGTGCTAAAAAAAAGAGCATACTTACACCCAATCCTGAATCTTTTTTTTTTTTCTTCAGATTTATTTATTTGAAAGGCAGAGTTACAGAAAGAGAGGGAGATCTTCTATCCACTGGTTTATTCCCCAAGTGGCCGTAACAGCAGGATTGGGCTAGCTGAAGCCAGGAACTCCATCCAGTCTCCTACATGGGTGGCAGGGCCCTAGTGCTCAAGCCATCTTCTGTTGCTTTCCCAGATTCATTATCAGAGAGCTGAATCAGAAGTGGAGCACCTGGGTTCTTGGGCCCCTGCACCTTTGTGGGAGACCCAGAAGAAGCTCCCAGCTCCTGGCTTCAGATTGGCCCAGCTCCAGCCATTGCAGCCATTTGGGGAATAAACCAGCAGATCGAAGATCTCTCTCTCTCTCTTTCTCTTTCTCTCCCTCTCTTTCTCTCTCTATCTCCCTCTCCCCCTCCCTCCTTCTGTGTCTCTGTAATTCCAACACATTAGGCATATATATTCAGAGGCGATCCTAGAATTGAGTTACATGTCCTTCCATTCCTACAAATTCTCATTATTTATGTGAAGAAAGATTTCTCAGAGCTTACATTAGAATGAAAAATAGTCATGAATTATTTCTGAAGACTTAATACCTTTTGAAAGTAATGACTTCTTGCCTTTTTCCGTGGTCTGACTTTTCTGTTCAGCTACCTCGGAAGCAGATTTCCCTGTTGATCATGTAACAATTTTAGCAATACACAGATACATGAACTAATAAGGGAGGGAAGCTCCATCCATTTCATTAATGGCTGAAATTTTAGGTAAAATTTAACTGGATATATTTATGATTTTATTTGAAAGTATATTATTACAATGATGAAAATATTTATGCATCCAAAAGAAAGTTTTTTCATTTAAAGTCTTCTGGAGAAAGGATTTTAAAAGAAAATTTTGTTTTAAACTTAGGTGAGCTTTTATATATATATATATTTGAAAGGTAGAGTGATACAGAAACAGGGAAGGTCAAAAAGATATCTTCCATCTGCTGGTTTACTTCCCAAATGTCCACAATAGCCAGGATTAGGCCAGGCTGAAGCCAGGAGAGAGGAACTCCATCCAGGTCTCCCACATGGATGGCAGGAATCTAAGAACTTAGGCTATCACCTGCTGCCTCCCAGGAGTATTTGCACGAAGCTGGATCAGAAGTGCCAAGTAGCCAGTACTTAAACAAAGCACTCTGATACAGATGCAGGCTCCCAGCTTAACCCATACAAACTGCTAGGCCACAACACCCACCCCAAAACATGGATGAACTTTTATTGTTATTGTAGATATTTTAGTTAATAACAGACTTTAAAGTATAAAAATATATTAATTAGGATGAAATTCTGTAATTAGGAATAAAAATATAGATTGAACCTGAAAAAGGAATCTTATAAAGTTTCTGATGATTAAAGAAGAGCTTTTTCTTATATTTTAAAAGCTATCAAGTAGATAAATAGCTATGAAATCATTATGGTATATGTAGTATTTGTACTATTGGATATATTTAAGAATGATTTAATAATTATATTCAAATTATCAGTATTTATAATATTTGGAAATTACAGCCATTGCAGCAGTTTAAACTTAAGAATACTTAGTCTTCAAAATTATTATAGAAGAAATGAGAGAAAAACAGTTCAAAGACCACTGTTCCAGAGGACTGTAGCTGTGATAACACAGGCCTAGGGAGGAAGGGAGTGGTGTCAGGAAAGAACTGAGAGCCTTACTAGTGGCAGTTGAGATAATAGGTGGCTGCTACTGAGCTGAGATGATCCCCAATGGCCAAAATCCTCCTTTGGATTGAAATATCCTCAAAGTAATGACTTGAGGATGCCAAAAATCCTGGAAACTATAGGCTCCTCATTCTTCCAGCTGCTCAATTTCTCTCCTGTGTTTTCTTATCTTTATATCCTTTCTTCTTGTCTTTGACCTTATTTCCTGTCTGTGAATCTTCCTTGTATCCCCTTCCCTTGATGCTTGCCAGGTCCCTTTAAAGGCCACTGAAGCAGAACCAAAGAGGGGAAATGACATCACCTTCAGCCATTTTCCCCATCACCAGGCCATGTCCTTGCCGCCTGGCTGCCTCCTTCATGCTAATCTCATCACCTGCCTGACTGCCCAGCTCTGAGCAGTATGTGTGTCCTATCCAGGGCTCACAAGGGACTCCGTGCCTTACTGCACGATGCAGCAGCTAATGATAACTGCTTTGCTGGGGAAGAGAGTGATGAACTAACTCCCTGAGACCTGAGGATGATGTGACTCTGCCTCCTTAAATCCAGACAGCGCAGCATCATGACTCAGCACTGCTGCTCCATCAGTGGCCTGTTTCCCAGATGGTGGCTGCTTTCAGCAGTGATGAAGACTCCTGCTTCCTCTTAGAAATGCAGTGTTCCAAGGGCTCTGCTGCCTTTGAGATCATACTTATCTACTCTATCTTGGATGCTAAGATTTTTATCAACTGCAAGATAGTTAAAAGTTAAAGAAAGTAGACATGCATCATAAATCCTTAAGAAAGCACTGAGGCCAGCACTGTAGGTAAAGCCCCAGCCTGCAGCGCCAGCATCCCATGTGGGCGGCAGTTCAGGTCCCGGCTGCTCCTCATCCGATCCAGCTCCCGCCTGATGTACCTGGGAAGGCAGCAGAGGATGGCCTGGGTCCTTGGGTCCCTGCACCCCTGTAGGGGACCTAGAAGAAGCTCCTGCTCTGGCTGTTGCAGCCGTTTGGGGAGTGAACCAGTGATGGAAGACCTCTCTCTCTGTAACTCTGTCTTTCAAATGAATAAAATAGATCTTAAAAAAAAAAGCATTACTGGTAATCAAAGAGGTACAAATTGAAACAATGAAATGTCATTTTCTTCTGACAAAATCAGAAAGAATATAATGCTGGTACACACTGTTCTTTCTTCAGTACAGTATAAACTGGATCATCCTTTTTTGAAGATAATTTAAGGAGGATCCTTTAAATAGTTCAAACTTTATGACCCACTATAGGCTGAAGCCAGGAGCCAGGAACTTCATCAGGGGTCTCCCACATGGGTGGCAGAGGCCCAAGTATTTGGACTGTCATCTACTGTCTTCCCAGGCTCATTAGCAGGAAGCTGGATATGAAGTGGAGATTCAAACCAGCACTCCAATATGTGATGATGCCATCACAAGTGGGGCCTTAATCCACTGTGCCACAATGCCAGCCCTGTTGTAATTTTTCTTAAGCCTTAACATATCACATTTAAGACATTCTGAATATTAATATACATCCCATTTCAGAGGTGTTAAAATGTTCAATGATATTCATCTTAGAATTTATTACACATGGCAATTTTTTTAAAGATTTATTTATTTATTTGAAAATCAGAGTTACAGAGAGAGAGTGAGAAACAGATATTTTATCTACTGGTTCACTCCCCAAAGGGCTGCAATGGCCAACAGTGGGCCAGGCCGAGGTCAGGAGCCAGCAGCTTCATGAGGGTCTCCCACATGGATGCAGGGGTGAAGTACTTGTGCCATCTTTCACTGCTTTTCCTAGGCTGTGAGAAGAGAGCTGGATTGGAAGTAGAGCAACCAGGACACAAACTGACACCTAAATGGGATGCTGGCATCGCAAATACTGGCTTTAATCACTATGCTGCAACACCTGCCCCTATTTTTAAATCATCGTAATCATTGGGGGTGGCTGCTGTATTATTGGTTAAGAATCACTGCTCTGAGCCGGCGCCGTGGCTCAATAGGCTAATCCTCCACCTTGCGGCGCCGGCACACCGGGTTCGAGTCCCGGTTGGGGCGCCGGATTCTGTCCCGGTTGCCCCTCTTCCAGGCCAGCTCTCTGCTATGGCCAGGGAGTGCAGTGGAGGATGGCCCAGGTGCTTGGGCCCTGCACCCCATGGGAGACCAGGAAAAGCACCTGGCTCCTGGCTCCTGCCAGGATCAGCGCGGTGCGCCGGCTGCAGCGGCAGCCATTGGAGGGTGAACCAACGGCAAAAAGGAAGACCTTTCTCTCTCTGTCTCTCTCTCTCACTGTCCACTCTGCCTGTCAAAAAAAGATCATAAAAAGAATCACTGCTCTGGGACCAGTGTTGGCATAGCAGGTAAAGCTGCTGCCTGCAATGCTCGCATCCCATGTGGGCACTGGTTTGAGACCCAGATGCTCCACTTCCCATCCAGGCCCTTGCTGATGTACCTGGGAAAGCAATGGAAGATGGTCCAAATGTTTGGATCCCTGCACTTACATGGGTGATTTGGAAGAAACACCTGTCTTGGCTTCAGCCTAGCCCAGCCCTGGCCTTTGTGGCCATTTGGGGAGTGAACCAGCAGATGAAAGATTCTCTTTCTCTCTCTCTCTCTCTTTCTCTGTGTAACTCTTTGAAATCAAATAAATAAATATTTTTTTAAAAAATCACTGCTCTAGGTATTGAAATTATTAATGATTTCTCTTTCCGTTTTTATTCATGTTTATATTTTCCAAAATGTTGCAATAAACACGTACTAGTTTTTTACGTATGTAAGAAGAAATTTTTTTTTTTACCTGTGTCTTGATTTGTCTTTCTGACTTGACTTCATCTAGCCATGAAACTCATACCTCCTTTTAACAGGAAAGGCTCCTGTAACTCACTGGGTTGGGAGGGGACTGAGGTTCCTGTGGTATATGCTGCTATCTCAAAAGGAACAACTGTGTTTCTCTACTAGATAACTAGGGAACCTCAATATCTTCAAGAGAGCCAAGAGATTGGACAGGCCTTGCAGCAGGCCAGGAATGTCATGGTAAGTGTTGATTGACCTTGTAGCATTTCTGGGTCTCCCATAAAGATAAAAAATGGAGATCTGGAGCATGGACTATGGCATAGCTGGTTAAGCTGCTTCTTGGGATGCCAGTGTCCTGTATTAGAGTGCCTGGGATTGAACACCATCTCTGCTTCCCATCCAGCTTCCTGCTAATGCCCTTGAAAAGCAGGAAGTAATGGCCCAGGTACTTGGGTTCCTGCCATCCATGGGAGACCTAGATGGAGTTCTGGGCTTCTGAGTTCCTGGCTTTGGCCTAGCCTAGCCCCAGGTTTTGCAGGCATTTGGGGACTGAACCAGTAGATGGAAGATCTGTCTCTCTGCACTCTGTGCCCCCAACCCTGTCACTTTGCCTTTCAAATAAATAAAACTTAAAAAAAAAAAAAAAAAAATGGAGAATATGGGATGGGCATTTGGCCTAGCAGTTAAGATGCATGGTCAAGATATCCATGTCCCATGTTAGAATGCCTGGGTTTGGTACCTGCCTGTGGATCCTAACTGTAATTTCCTGCTATTACAGACCCTGGGAAGCAGTGGTGTAGCTTGAGTAATTAGATTCCTGCCGTTGACATGGGAGATCTGGATAGCATCCCTGGTTCCTGGCCCTAGCCCCAACCCCAGCCCAATTCTGGCCATTGTAGGCATTTGGGGAGTGAACCAGTGGATTGGAGCGCTCTATTGATCTATCTGCCTGCCTCTCAAATAAATAAAAATTAAAAGAAAAAAAGGGTGGGGAATCCTGGTTGGTTAATAGATGGTGATACACAGCTGTGGGGGTGAAGAGAGGCTTCCAAACCTTGGTGAATGATGTCTCCTTATTGGAAACTTGGAATTGGGGCCAGTGCCTTTCCTCCCCCGTTTGCCCTGCTTCCTTCTTAGTGACTGTGCTTGCTGTAGCCTAACCATTTTCCCCTCTACAGCAATCATGGATGCTAGTTTCTAAAGAGCTGACATCCCTGCTTCACCTGTCCCTGCTGCACTTAGAGGAAGATAAACTCACTGTGAGTCAGGAGGTAAGCAGCATGGAGGTAGAGGCGTTGGTGGGATTGAAAGCCAAGAAAAGGAGCCAGACAAAGCACCTGATTCTTACTTTGTAGTCTCGACATGCAGAAACACTGGTCTCCTGCTGTTTTGATATGTTGAAGAAACTGAAGGCAAAGCTCCAGAGCCTCAGTGCAGAAAAAGAAGAGGCAAGGCACAGAGAGGAAATGGCCCTCAGAGGCAAGGATGCGGTAAGGTGCCAGGTGCCTGTCCCCGGACTGGGAGGGCTCTGCCTCACATTTCTGTAGGAATGCGCTGGAGACACAGACGAGTGGCCTACAAAGTGCCTGCCCTGGGGAATAGACTGAACTAATGGGGTGCTGGATGGCCATGGCTTTTTGTGCTGTTTCCCTCTGCTGCCCATTATGTCCTTTCAACCTCTTTCCTAAAACAGGCAGAAGCAGTGCTGGAGGCTTTCTGTGCACATTCCAGCCAACGCATCAGCCAGCTAGAACAGAACTTGACCTCCATGAAGGAATTCAGAGACCTCCTGAAGCAGACCCAGACCCAACTGGTAACTGAAAGGCATTTTCTTTCCTGGGGTTCCTGCTGGTGCACTTGTATGTTGCTGCCCCTTCGTACGCAAGCCTTCCCTTGTAGGTAGAGCTTCAGAAAGAGCAGGAAGGGCTGATCCAGCAAACAGTGAGTCTGACTTCTACCTTGCAACAGGACTGGCTATCCATGCAACTGGATGTGAGTATTTGGGGCTATCATAACCACTCACTCATAAGGCAGCCCTGTTAGGAGCCTTGCTTCAAGTGTGTTCAACTGACTTGCCTGCTTCCTCTGGTAGTACACGACATGGACAGCTTTGCTGAGTCGGTCTCAACAGCTCACAGAGAAACTCACAGCCAAGAGCCGGCAGGCTCTCCAGGAGCGTGATACTGCAATTAAGGATAAGCAGCAGGTACAAACCAGGAGTGGAGACTTCTTAGGACTGCCTTCCTCCTTTGCCGAAGGCCTTTCTGTTGTGTGACATCATTAGCCTCTTACTCTGTACCTGTCTGCTTCTTCACCCTGGGAGTTTGGAGACCAGCCAACTCCTTTAGCTGTGAGATGATGGCCTTGAGCCTAGTTGTTTGCTTTGCTCTTCAGCACCTTCCTCGCTTCAGCAGTTTTTCTCCTGTCTACGTCTTCCTAAGGATGAGCCTTATTTTCTGTAGTGTTGCTGTCTGGGATCAAGATAACTTCCCGTCTTGTCCAGAAAGAGAAGCTGGTCTAGATCCTGGGATTCTTGATTCAGGAGAAACTATAGGGGGAAACTACCTTTTCTTCCCAGGTTTCCAGGGAGCTGGAACAAGTCTCTGCTCATTTAGAGCACTGCAAAGGCCAAATAGAACAACTGGAGTTAGAAAACAGTCGCCTAGCAACAGGTGTGTATGTGTACGCGCATGTGCATGCAAGCAGCTGAGCCGTGCTAAGGGTAGGAGTGTGGCAAAGAGCAAGGAATTGTGGGTAGTTTCTGACCTGGAAACTGCATTGGTGTCATTAGGATACTTTTGGTCTAGATCTCCGAGCTCAGCTGCAGATTCTGGCCAGCGTGGACAGCCAGCTAAAAGAGCTGCAGAGTCAGCATGCCCATTGTGCTCAGGACCTGGCTACAAAGGATGAGTTGCTCTGCCAGGTTACCCAGAGCAAGGAGGAGCAGGCTGCTCAGTGAGTTCCCATCAGGTTATTGTGCAGTAGGCATCTAGCATATAGGACCACACGGGATCTAACATAAGGTCTCTGGCAGATGGCAAAAGGAAGAGGCAGCACTAAAACACATGCAGGCAGAACTGCAACAGCAACAGGCTGTTCTGGCCAAGGAGGTGCAGGACCTGAAGGAGACCCTGGAGGTAAGTAATATGGCCTGGGACAAGGGGACAAGGGAGCTGGTCAAATTCCAAGAGTGTAACTTGCCTGATGGTATTGAAGTGAGGTTTGAGACTGGGAATCCTAAGTTCTCCATTTGGAATCTACTCCCCTCCCCCAACCCCCTTCTTGCTCCTTTCCTTTCCTTCTCCTGTTTTTCCAGTTTGCAGACCAAGAGAATCAGGTTGCTCACTTGGAGCTGGGCCAGGTTGAGTGTCAGTTGAAAGCCACGCTGGAAGTGCTCCGGGAGCGCAGCCTGCAGTGTGAGAACCTCAAGGACACCGTGGAGAACCTAAAGTAAGATCTTAACCTTTTTGTGCTTTCCTGCCAAGTGCCTATTTTTCACAGGATCACTTCTAAAGAAGGCAAAGTCTCCAAGAAGAGATTAGGACATTGTCAAACTTCTTGTTTCTCTCTTTGAATGCAACTCTGTGAGGGTTTAGGAGAGGTGTTTGGCCATCCTCCATGTTCTTTGTTTCAGGGCTGACCTGGCCAACACCATAGCAGAGAACCAGGAGCAAGACCTGGAGAAGACACGCCAGTGTTCACGAGAGCTAGGGTTGCTTACTGAACAGCTGCAGAGGCTGACCCTCTTCCTACAGACAACACTAAAGGAGAAGGTGGTTCTTTTTCTTCCTTCCAGTTTTATCTGTTGTATAATATGGTCTTCTTGAAACACTGTTCTCATTCCACCTCTGTAATGTACAGGGACTTTTGGTTATCTAAATGACCTTCAACCTGTTGCTGAAACTTTTTGTCATCTGTTTCCCAGCTCCCTATTATGAACCCTTACTAGACTCTGTGCTCCTGGGCTAGGGCTAGGGCTAGGGTTAGGGTTCACACTCACACTGGAAATACTCTTTCCTTTCCTGTTAAAATCTGCATTAGTTCACATTCTTTGTAATGTTCCCAAATCAACAAAGACTCAGTGTTTCTTCTGCCATATTTGTCACCAACTTACTCTCTTTTTGTACTTGTATTAATTTTCCTTGGATGTCTGGTCTCTAACTAGACTACATTTAAAGAAAGCAGAAATTTAACCTCACTTCTTTGCTTCCCAGCAGAGTACACTAAACAGTAAATGATTACTTGTAGTCTTGAAGAATAGAGTTAGATTACCCAACAGGTAAAGGTACAAACAAGATCTTTTTTTTTTTTAATATTTATTTATTTATTTGAAAGTCAGAGTTACACAGAGAAGAGAGGCAGGGAGAGAGAGAGAGAGAGAGAGAGAGAGATCTTCCATCCGCTGGTTCACTCCCCAGTTGGCCATAACAGCCGGCCGAAACCAGGAGCCAGGAGCTTCTTCCTGGTCTCCCAAGCAAGTGCAAAGGCCCAAGGACTTGGGCCATCCTCTACTGCTTTCCCAGGCCATAGCACAGAGCTGGATTGAAAGTGGAGCAGCTGGGACTCAAACTGGCACCCATATGGGATGCTGGTGCCTCAGGCCGAGGCGTTAACCCGCTGGGCCACAGCACCAGCCCCAAGGTACAAACAAGATCTTTAAAGGTAGATCTGGGCCGGCGCCGCGGCTCACTAGGCTAATCCTCTGCCTAGCGGCGCCGGCACACCGGGTTCTAGTCCCGGTCGGGGGGCCGGATTCTGTCCCGGTTGCCCCTCTTCCAGGCCAGCCCTCTGCTGTGGCCAGGGAGTGCAGTGGAGGATGGCCCAAGTGCTTGGGCCCTGCACCCCATGGGAGACCAGAAAAAGCACCTAGCTCCTGGCTCCTGCCATTGGATCAGCGCGGTGCGCCGGCCGCAGCGCACCGGCCGCGGCGGCCATTGGAGGGTGAACCAGTGGCAAAGGAAGACCTTTCTCTCTGTCTTTCTCTCTCACTGTCCACTCTGCCTGTCAAAAAAAAAAAAAAAAAAAAAAAAGAAAGGTAGATCTGACCTTGTTTCCCAAATGTGTGCTGCTGAGCACAGGAAATGTCAAAGAATCTGCAGTCTAGCAGGGAACACAGACAGATGTAAAATTGTCACTTTGACTTAAGATCATAGTAGAGGTCTGCAGAGACCACAGAGAAAGGAGGCTTGATTCTACTTTTTCTTTTTTTAAGATGTATTTATTTATTTGAAAGTCAGAGTTAAAGAGAGAGATCTTACATCCGCTGGCTCACTCCCCAGATGGCCCCAACAGCCAGGGCTAGACTAAGCCAGGAGTGGGTGCTTCTTTTGAATCTCCCACATGCAGGGGCACATGCACTTGAACAATCTTCTGCTGCTTTCCCAGGTGCATTAGCAGGGAGCTAGATTGGAAGTGGAGCAACCAGGACTTGAACTGAAACCCATATGGGATGCCGGCATTGCAGGCAATAGCTTTACCTGCTACACCACAACACTGTCCCCTCAGTTCTACTTTTGAGAGTTAGGATTCTTCTCAAAACATGTGATCTTGGGCAGTCTTGAGGTTTAGAAGTTTGTAGGGCAGGAGTCAGCATATGGGAATACCCACCAGGCAGAGAGAATAGTACTTGAAGGTCAAAGAGAGAACCATATATAGAAGTTTCATATGACTACCAGTGAGAATCATGTAGAAAGCCATACACACATAGTATAATATGTGTACTTTTTTGTGTTTACCTTGTGACAAGACATGGGCTTGGTGCTGGGACTACAGGATGAACAAGGCAAGTTCCCCACTCATATGGAATGTGGCCAAAATTTAGGGAATGGAAAGTAGTTCTTTCTGATTGTAGTGCAGGAGTTGCATGGGGCAAGGTAGAGGACAAGACTATAGAAGTAGCAGGAGGCCAGATTTTGAAAGCTTGAACTATAACTATAGAGGGGATAGATTGAATGGATTCAATAGCTATTTAGGATGTGGAAGTAATTGAACCTGGTGATGAGATTGATGCAGAAGGTAGGATCCTTAGACTGCCAGAAACATGGTAATGCTCTTCTCTAGAACTGGGGATGGCAAATTTTTCCTAAAAGGGCCATATAATTAGTATTTTCAGCTTTGTGGGCCATATGTTATCTGTCTCAACTTCTCAACTCTACCTTTGTAAAGAGCAGTCACAGACAAATGTAAATGATGAGTGGGTTCCAATTAAACTTCACTTACAAGAGCAGTTGGCAGGCCACAGTTGACCTCAGGCTGTAATTTACTGCCTTCCAAACTTCATTCCACCATTCCCACTCTAGAATAGTAAATAGAGGAGTAAGACAGTTTTTGATGTGGTGGAACAGGGAAAATGGTGAACTCAGCTTTATACATACTAAGTTTCCAATGGACTGGAACATTCTAGTTGATTTTTCACAGGCCATTAGCCTTTGTTTCTGGAGAATGGGAAAAAATCCAGTTGAGAAAAAGAGATTGAAGAGTCATTCATGTGGAAGTGGAAGTCTGAGGGGGGTTTTTGTGGTGCTCCTGAAGCGATGCCACCCAGGAAATGGATAAGACTAAAAAGAGGGCCAAGGGCTGAGCCACGAGAGTCCAACAGTTAAGGAAGTATCTGTGGGTAGAGAGAAGAAATAGCCAAGAGTATGAGGTCCTCTTATGAGGAGTGACGGGTACCAGATGCCAGGAAAAGGAAATTTTTGCAACGACATGGTTATTAGTATCAAACAAGTCAGTTGCAACAAGAACTGAGTGTGTATTGCATTTGAAAGTAAATATCATTAGTGAGCCAAATGATGAGTTTTGGTGGAATGGTGGGTCAGATGCCCAAGTGTAGTAAACTGTGGTGTTGATAGATGGTGAGAATTATAGGCAAGAAGTGTAGGATTTTATTCCTTTTTATTTTTTCAAAGTAAAGGGAAAGAGAAAAGGTAATAGCTAAAGGGAGACTTAATGTAAGAGAAAAGTTTTTTGTTTATGTTTTAAAAATATTGTTTTAGGGGCTGGCACTGTAGCATAGCAGGTTAAGTTGCTACCCGCAGCACCGGCATCCCATATGGGCACCGGTTCATATCCCAGTTGCTCCTCTTCCGATCCAGCTCCCTACTAATATACTTGGGAAGGCAGCAGAAGATGGCTTGAGTGCTTGCACCCCTGCACCCATGTGGGAGACCCAGAAGAAGCTCCCGGCTCCTGGCTTTTGTTCGGCCCAGTTCTGACTGTTGTGGCCATTTGTGGAGTGAACCAGAGGATAGATCTCTCTCTTGCTAACTCTGCCTTTCAAATAAATAAATAAATCTTAAACAATAAAATCATTGTTTTAGTAGGAGAATTGTATAAGAAAATAAACATGTTGGGGAAAAGGTACTGTTAATGGGGGAGAAGAAGATAGAGAAGTTAGGCACTACGTGGAACAGTATTCTAGAAGAGATGACCACGAGCTTGTGGGAGCTCAGGGAATCACTCACCCTGATGAGCAGCTGACATTTTTTTCTTGTATTATTACTTTTTAAAGGTTTATTTTATTTATTTGAAAGGCAGAGTTAGAGAAAGAGAAGGGGAGAGATCTTTCATCTGTTGGTACACTCCCCAAATGGCCGCAATGGCTGCAGCTGGGGCTGGGCCAGGCCAAAGCCAGAAGCTTCTTTCAGGTCTCCCACATGGGTGGTAGGGGCCCAGACACTTGGACCATCTTCTGCTACTTTCCCAGGCACATTAGCAGGGAGCTGGATTGGAAATGGAATAGCTAGGACGTGAACAAGCACCCATATGGGATGCCGTTGTCACAAGTGGCAGTTTAATCCAGTGCACCACAACATTGCTCTCTGATTTTTTCTTTTTTCTAATTTGCTCTTAGGCTGAACCAGAGACTCCTCTGCTGAGCACAGCCCATGATCCCATGCCCAGTGACAGCACCTTCTCAGGCAGCATCATGACAGCAGTGACAGATGAAGGTTAAAGCTCCTGGGATTTGGGGGTGGGAAAGTGGTGACCCTGCTCCTTCCTGCCTTTCCCTGGGTTCCACTATGGCAGGCCCCTGAGAGGGTAACCAGAGGAGCCCTCTCTCATGCTTGGTTTTTGTTTCAGAGCCAGAATCAGCTCCTGTGCCCTTGCTTGGAAGTGAAAAGAGTGCTTTCACCCGAGTAGTGTCAGTGGTTTCCCTTCAGTCTGCAGGTTAGGATGGGCTCCAGGGATTCTGCCTCATTTCTAGAAAATCTGGTGGTGATGAGTAAAAACAAAAGCAGTGAAAAGTAATTTGCTCTAAAAACCTCAATTCTACTTGGGCTCATTTTATTTCTGCCTTTTGGGATCTAATGTTCTAGACATTCAAATCCTGTGGGTGGGAAACATGGATGAGTTGTGGAGGTGAGGAGTCTACTCTTCTTCCTTCCAGGGTAAAGGGCTCTACCCCCATGTAGGACTTTGTTTTTCAGAGACCCCCAGCATGGAGACAAGCCTGGCAGAAATGAGTACTATGATTCTCAAGCTTCAGAGCCTGTGTTCCCAAGTGCAAGAGTCAAAAGAAGAAGCCATCAGCACTCTGCAGCAAAAAATGTGAGTGGGCTGGAGTCTGGTGAGGGGGACAGTGACACAGCCCCTATTGCTGGACTAGCTGGACACTTGTGCATGAGAAGACAAGAGTGATGTTGAATTCTCTCCTCCCCTAGTTGCGATCTGCAGGCTAGGCTGCAGGCTGAGGAGGAAGAGCATCAGGAAGCCCAGAAGGCAAAGGAAGCAGACATAGAGAGGCTGAACCAGGCCCTGTGCTTGCGCTACAAGGTGAAGGAGGGGCCTAGAAGTGGGGCGATGAAGAACTGGAGCAGCTCTACTGGCCCACTGGGAGCCATTGTCTCTCCAGGAATCTGGGTGGTGGGGATTTTCCAACCACTGCCCTAGTTTTGCCCTTCCAGGGTCAAATATTTCACAAATTTGGGAATCAGCTACAGGCTGACCTGTCTTCCCAGTCAGGAACCCTAGCAGAACTCTCCCAACACTGAAATGTGCCTGGCCTGACTTGGCCCTGGAGGAAGAATTGGAGTGATAGCATCTGGCCCCACCTGGGTAGAGCATGAGTCAGGCACTCTGTCCTATCTCCTGGCAAAGGCTGCAAAGAAACCAGCTCTCCCTCTGTGCTTTCTCACTTGCTTTTCCCTCACAGAATGAAAAGGAGCTCGAGGAAGTAATACGGAAGCAGAACGAGAAGATCCTAGAGCAGATCGACAAGAGTGGCGAGCTCATAGTACGTTCACCACGATGCCCGGGCCTCTGCCTCTGCGTCACTGGTAGCCAGGATCCCAAATATGAGAATCAGATATCTTAGTCTATGTTGGTGTCAGGTGGGATGAGAGGGGTACAGAGGACCTTTGCAGGATACTAGATGCCTCTTCATTTCTTGCCTTCCAGAGTCTTAAAGAAGAGGTGACCCAGCTTACCCGCTCACTTCGGCGTGCAGAGACAGAAACTAAGGTGCTCCAGGAGACCCTGGAAGGCCAGCTGGACCCTAACTGTCAGCCCATGGCCACCAACTGGATCCAGGAGAAAGTGTGGCTCTCTCAGGAGGTGACTCAGAGTTAGAGGAGCTGGGCAGTGGGGAGCTCAGTTGGGTAGAGGAGGTGGGCAGTGGTGAGGCCCTGTTAATCTGTATATATTCATAGGTGGACAAGCTGAGAGTGATGTTTCTGGAGATGAAAAATGAGAAGGCAAAACTCGTAGTCAAGTTCCAGGGCCATGTAAGAATTTCCGTGCTGTTTAAGGTCATTTCCCACCAGCAAGTGCCCTGCATGTGTTCTTTTAAGCATGGGGCTTGTGGAACCTATTTGTTTTCTAGAGAAACATCCTAGAAGAGAACCTTCGGCGCTCTGACAAAGAGCTAAAGAAATTAGATGACATCGTTCAGCATATATATGAGGTGAAGTGTCGCGGGAGTTGGTAGGACCTTAGTCCTGGTACAGGGCCTGGCCCTAGGAAGTACTGATGTGGGCCTGACCGCCCTTTCCACTTCCCTTCCAGACTCTGTTGTCCATCCCAGAAGTAGTGAAGGGTTGCAAGGAACTGCAAGGATTGCTGGACTTTCTGAGCTAAGAAACTGAGTGCTGGAATGCGCCGTACTCCTTTTTGCCTACAGTACCCCTTACCCCTCTACCAGGACCAACTGGCCTAGAGCCGACTATATGTAATACTATTTAAATAAAGTGTATTTAATTACTTCTTCAAGATCACTGAATCTTTTTGTGTGTTTGTTTTGTTCACTGAATCTTACATTTTGGGCGGGAGGGGAGGAGCTGGATGAGATCTGGAAAGGGGCAGCTTGGCCCTCCTGCGCGGGCAGCCACCCTCCACACATCCTTCTGCACCTCCTACTGCCTCCAGAGCCAAGGCTCTGCCCTTCCTCCTTCCCTTGCTGAAGACTGGGCTCTGGACTGCTTGTTCCCTGGCGCATGGCCTGGGGGGAACAGAATAAGCTCCATTCTCTTTTCCCAATCCTCCCCAGGGGTAGGTTCTGGTAAATATTGGGCTGAGGACAGAGAAGCTCAGTTCATTACTCCCAGCCCTGAACTTGGGTACCTTGTCGAGGTCTCTGTCCCACCAACCACACCTGTTGCGGTTGTTAGATGACTTGTTTTTGCCAACAGTGCTGGGCACATACTAAAGGCCAGTGTGGCAGAAATAAAGGCAAGGCAATTTTCTGCCCCTGGGGCCCTGCTGGCCTGGCTCCACGAAGTGGGAGGGGGGACAGTCTACAACAGCCTCGGAGGTCCTGGCTCCGAAGTCACTCCACTGCGCCGCCCCGCCTCTGTGGGCGGGGCCTTGCCCCAGCAGCCTCCAAGAGGGGCGTGGCCAGGGTGGAAGTGCCGGCCCCGCCCCCCGGGGAGTCACGTAGCTCTGCGGCAGCCGCAGCCTCATTAACCGGAGCCGGGGCTGGAGCTGCAGCAGTCGCTGACTGGTGCCCGAGCGCTGCTTGTTGCTGCCGAGGATAACTGCGCGCAGGTAATGCCCGCGGCGGGGCAGGAGCCGTTCGGCGCCACGGCTTCCTCTCCTGGGTTCTTTCCCTGCCGTGCTTGCCCTGCTGTCCCGGCCCCTGGGTGTGCACTTTCTGCTGTCTCCCAACATCCTCGCTCCTTTCTGTCCCCTAGAAAGCCTATGGCTCAGCCTCTCCCTCTCCGCCCCTTTCTCTTCACTCTGCCGCTTAGGCTGCAGCTCTCCCAGCCCCGAATCCTGTGTTTTCCTTGAGGTCAGCTTCTCCTACCCTGCCTATGTTAGTCTCAGCCTGCTCCCTCTCCTCCTAAGCCAGCTTCCCTCCGCTTTCTCTTGCCTTCTCTGTCCCTTGGTCCAGGTCCCTCCCTGTGACAGGTTAGCCTGCATCACAGCACCTCCCCCAGCTCTCCTTTCTGCTCCTCCTCACTTCTCCCTCTCCTCTGCAGGCTCTCCACGTACTCCTTTGAACTCCGGCCCCTTCTCCTGGGTGTCTGGGCTGTGGAGAGTGAGTGGATGAGAGTGAGGCATGGCTTGGGAGCCCCACTGGGGCCAACCTGTGGCACTGGGGTGAGGAGTAGGCAATAGGAGTAGGCATTCAGGCTTGCAGTATGGAAATGAACAGGTTAAGGAAGACGGGCACTGTTATTTGGGCCACTGTAGTCTGCTTGCCCCATCCTCCTGACCTTTTCCCCTGGAAGCTGGAGGAGGGAGGAGGGGGCAGTGATAGGAACTTCCACCCCATTTGGAAGCCTTGGAAGTAAGTGCGTTCTCCCTGGGGCCCCTGTTGAGGATGAAGAAAAGCCAGGGTGTGTGCCTACCTCAAGAAGGGGCCACGTTTAGTGAAAGAAGGGTTTGCACCCTTGACTGGGCAGAAGTTTCATAAGAAGACCTGTAGCTTCAGGGCTGCTCGCCTCCCCACCCCCACCCTGCATCTTTACTCAGGACTGGGAAAGGTGCCCACCAGGGACAAAAGAAGATGTGGGAACTGGGGCCCTGAGCCTGCTGTCAGAGGATTGGTGCCACTCTGATGCCCAGGACCCAAGCCAAGAACTGCTGCTCTGTTCCCAGCCCCATGCTTGTGGTGACCCATTTGGCCAGGAGCGGACGCTGAGGAGGTGATGGGTAGGGTCCAGCTTTTGTATTTTGTTTCTACTCCAGAGAGCTGTCACCATGCCTCACTCTTACCCAGCCCTTTCTGCTGAGCAGAAGAAGGAACTGTCTGACATCGCTCTCCGGATTGTGGCCCCAGGCAAAGGCATTCTGGCTGCAGATGAGTCTGTAGGTAGGTGGGGGCCTGTGGCCAGGTGGGGTAGAGGTGGCGAAAGAGCCCTGGGGCCCATGTCCTTGCTGCCCCACATTGTTTGCCTCCAGGAAGCATGGCCAAGCGACTGAGCCAAATTGGGGTGGAGAACACGGAGGAGAACCGTCGGCTGTACCGCCAGGTCCTGTTCAGTGCCGACGACCGTGTGAAGAAGTGCATTGGAGGTGTCATCTTCTTCCACGAAACCCTCTACCAGAAGGACGATAATGGTGTCCCCTTCGTGCATACGATCCAGGATAAGGGCATTGTTGTGGGCATCAAGGTGCAGCCCCTGACCCTGAATTGGGAGTGAAAATAGATGCATGTAGGATGGCTGGAGGAGGGAGCCCTACTTGGGTTCAACTGTCTGCCTGTGTTTCCCCTGCAGGTAGACAAGGGTGTGGTGCCTCTGGCCGGGACTGATGGGGAAACCACCACTCAAGGTACAGGGTGGGTGGGCTTCGGGACCACGGAAGTGCCAGGTGGCTGATGCTGGCAAAGGAGGGGCAGGATGAAGAAGCTGGCGCTGTGCTTGCAGGGCTGGATGGGCTTTCGGAACGCTGTGCTCAGTACAAGAAGGATGGTGCCGACTTTGCCAAGTGGCGCTGTGTGCTGAAAATCAGTGAGCGCACGCCCTCAGCACTTGCCATTCTGGAGAATGCCAATGTGCTGGCCCGCTATGCCAGCATCTGCCAGCAGGTGCGTGTGCTGGGGGGTTGGGTGGTCAGATGGTTGCCCTGTGCCTGGTGGGGGAGGGTTACAGGACTTCCATCCCTCCTGCTACCTCCCAAGCTACTCTGCTTTGTCTGCAGAATGGCATTGTGCCTATTGTGGAACCTGAGATCCTACCTGATGGGGACCATGACCTCAAACGTTGCCAGTATGTTACGGAGAAGGTGAGTCTACACACAGGCACAGACACGTATGATAGGACACGTACTCATCCTGGCAGGGATGCTGTGTCCCATCACTCCTGGCTCATATCCAGGCCATGGTTTCCCCTAGTGCTGTTTCACCTGGCCCCAGCGCAGCCTGTGCCTATCTGAGCGCTTCCTGTGCACACCCACTTACCTGTGCAGTAGAGTAGGGCAGACCCACTGTAAACATCCTCTGCTCCCCAGGTCCTGGCTGCTGTGTACAAGGCTCTGAGTGACCATCATGTATACCTGGAGGGGACGCTGCTGAAGCCCAACATGGTGACTCCTGGCCATGCCTGTCCCATCAAGTATAGCCCAGAGGAGATTGCCATGGCAACTGTCACTGCCCTGCGTCGCACTGTGCCCCCAGCTGTCCCAGGTACTACTCTGCTCCCTGACCTCCGATCCCCAAGGCCCATCATTCTTCATTTCGTGGTCTTCTTGGATCCCTTACCCTGGACAAACAGGAAGTAACCAACCAGTTTCTCTTCTCTCCTCTCCTAGGAGTGACCTTCCTGTCTGGGGGTCAGAGTGAAGAGGAGGCATCACTCAACCTCAATGCCATCAACCGCTGCCCCCTTCCCCGGCCCTGGGCCCTCACCTTCTCCTATGGGCGTGCCTTGCAGGCCTCTGCACTCAATGCCTGGCGAGGGCAACAGGACAACGCTGGGGCTGCTACTGAGGAGTTCATCAAGCGGGCTGAGGTTGGGAGCTAGAGGTGGTGTGGTGGGATGTGTGTAGCTGGGAAGGGGCCGGTACCCACAGGCTAAAGCCTGGGCAGGATTTGACACCCGTGGGCTGGTTCCTCCACCTGCTTACCTCCCTCCCTTCTTGCCTTTTGTAGGTGAATGGTCTTGCAGCCCAGGGGAAGTATGAAGGCAGTGGGGAGGACGGTGGAGCGGCTGCACAGTCCCTCTACATTGCCAACCATGCCTACTGAGAACCTACTCCACACCACAGCCCTCGGCCCAGCCACCTGCACCCACTCTTGCCTGTAGTCTTGGCCGGGGCCAAATAGCCATACAGAGCAGAAATGCTTTCATTCAGCCACAAGTCATCTTCCTTTTCTCTCCTCCCTTTCCCTTTCCAATTGCTTACCTGGGACCATAGGATGGGAGGATGGGGAGTCCCTTATGACTGAGGGCAGGAGAACTTGGTAGAAGTCAGGGCAGGGTGCCTGGGTGTCCCCCTACCTCTGCTAGCCTCCACACTTTTCCCATGACGGTATAGCTTCTCCTTGAGCTCTCCTTGCCGGCCCTCTCTCCTGGGATCAGAGGGTAGAACATTAGTCTGACTCATGCCTTGAATACATACTGCAGAGCAAATAAATGGTAGCAAAACATGCTACTTTGTCTGTCTGATTTTCACATCAAATTCCCACCTCTCAGTGTCTGATATCTGCTGTTTCTACATCTGGGGCCTCTGACTGTGGCAGTGGAGAGGGTGGGATTTGAGTTTTGCTGGGCTTCAAGCTTATGGAGGAGGGGCACACCCAGTCAACGTTCCCAGCTCAGGGTCTTGCCTGTTGGTGTCCAAGGCTAGAGTGAGGGCAGCGGGGAGGGCTGCAAGTTTTCCAGGGACTGCCACTTCAGAGGCACTAGGCTGCCGCCTCCGAGGGTAGCAGTGAGGAGACGTCAGCATTTCCCGAAGGCCAGATTTATACAAGGCCCAAAGCTGGGAGTTAGTGCCACAAGCTGCCATAAGGGGAGGTGGGCGGCTCTCACTCTCTGAGCCCTGCTGGAGCCTGACTCGTTCCACTAGGGGGAGCCATAGGCAACCCTCCAAGGCTTGGGGCTGAGGCGGGTATTTAGGAGGTTGCCAAGAGCTATGGGTTCAGGGTGAGTACAGAGGGGGCCTGTGTGAGGGTCAGGCTAGTCCGGGGAGCCCCCTGCTGGACTTTGATCACGGGGCTGGAGTGTGAAGCAGGTTGAGAATCTGGGTTTACCTGAGCAGGTGAAAGATGGGAGAACGAGATGGTTGTGTTGTGTGAACTGAGGCCACCCATTCTCTAAGGGTGTGGCTTGACCTTAT